AAATTGATTTTAAATTATAGTACCCACCTATTATAATAAACTTTTGTGAAGAATATGTATGATGTGTGTATAACTATTGTAACTATTACTATAGTTATTAACAGTAATTTGTTGGTATTGAATTAAACTATAATTATAATTAGAGAACAGATAAAATAAAAATGTAGGACCCACCCCCCTAAAAAATTCTTGGATACGCCCCTGGTTCATTACCTACAGCTCATGTTCCTGTTGTTCATTCGAGTGAATGAACAAAAAATAAAACTACTAAATTGAATCAAAATTTATTTAATAAATATATTAAAAACCTACTGCATATAAAATAAGTATTAATAATAACAACACAAATAGTTCTTACATTAAAATTGTACCTTCAGTCTGAATTCTGTTTAAAAAATCAACAAATATTCATAGTAGTCATAGTACCTATTAATAATTTTTTAAACCCTTTAAAAAAACAATTAAGATAGTTAACTTAATTTGACAAATATCTAAGTAGAAAATATAAGGTTGGTAAGTAGTCAAATAACAAATTCCGAAATTCTTTTTTTCATTTTGGCAAATTTGTTGATTGTTTCATCAATGGATACAATAATATTTGTATGCACATGCAACAAAACCCAACCTGTTAGTCTATGCTGGCCTATTCTTAATCTTAACCATGTTTTCAGTTTACAAAAATATATTGTTGGCTATTATTTGCAAGTTAAAGAATATGGAAACAAATATTGTCAGTTGTTACGATTATTATTTGGGTTAGGGGCTTTTAGCTCCATAAAATACACAAATTTTCATGCATTTGTGCACAAAAATGACTAAATACCTATGCACAACAAAAAGTACCAGATATTATGTTGTAAAAAAAAAAAAAATAGGCGAGTAAAATTATTAAGGACTTATATAGGTCTAATAAATACAAAAATATACAATATGCATAAATACACAAAAAAATGACTAACTAGTAAATATGTGGTAAAAAAAGTGTTACTTTAAATTACTTTATATAATAGATTATTATAGATAATAATAATCTTAATATGTCTATGGATAAATACCTCGGTTACGGTTGTAAATATCTATAACCGTAGCAATATCCGTGGAAGATAATACCACCATTCGTTCCAAAACCAAAAATGTTATGATGTAAGAAGATAAACAAAAATTGATACCCGTGACCAAATTGACATATAATTGAATTTAATATTATTTTTTAATGATAGACTTGTAATTTATATTCCTAATTATTTATAAATTACATTTTTTAAATAAATCGATATATTATATTAAAAATAATACGAGCCATGGGGGGGGCGAATGCCCCCTTCGCCCCCTCCCTCAAATACGTCCTTGTGTTTTGCAAATGGCTAAGTTTTGAACATTTTTATACAGAGCCTAATTTTTGGTTCTTCACTACTAACCAATTAAATTAGTATTGGTTCTAATTTTTCATGTTATTAATCTTTAATAAGTACTAAGTATTATTTTAAATAAGTGAATTTTCTACAATTTACAATATGAAAAATAAATTACTTATATAAGTTCATGTAATCGTGTTTGACAATAATTCGACGATTTTAGTCTATGCTTATCACAATAATATAATATACAACCAACGAAAAATAGCGAAAGACCAGTACTATATTGCACTATTGAAGTGATGGATGGCGGAAGAGAAGTGTATACGCGTAATCATAAAACCATGGTCCGGTTTTTTTCGGTATTTGTGATTTTAAATTTAATGTGATCCGGCCCCCTTGTTTAAAAAAAAAAAATCAGCCCAGTCTAGTCCGTCCGCCTTCAGTTCAATAAGATAATAATGGTCTAAAAGTCTCAGTTTGAAACTGAATATAACCGTGTTCATCCCAGGAGTGTCATCGGGAGAGGCAGTAACCCCACCTTCCCTCTCGATGACCTTTTTTCTTAAAATGTTTGTTTTTTATTATTTATATCATAGTAGGAAAATGCATAAATGTGAATATATGATTGAAGTTCATTCCCCCTATAAAACAGTCTAGGGACGTCATTGGTAACATGTTACCACAAACCACCGAATATTCCATAATTTATTATACTCACTTTCAAACTTTGAACCATGACCTCAATATATAAACATAGTATGCAGTAGCACGGTGAACATTTGTAAACCATGATGCACAACATGTATTTCAGTAGATACCTATCTACCACTTCTTTCTCTAGCATACCGTTCTTGAAATGTTTTTAAAAACCTAAATCGAAGAAAACTAAAAATTATTAAAGATTGAAATGCATACCTAATTACCTTCAAAATTCTAATTATAACAATAAAAAAAAAAACAAACTATGGGCATTCTATATAATGCCAATAAGTATGCGATTGCGCATATTTATTGCTAACAAACATTTTCGAGATTGATGTTTATTTATTATCATTTGTCATATTTTGCTGCATAAAAATTAATATTTACTTAGGTAGGTTTTGTAAATTATTTATTTTTTATAAAAATATTAACTTTCTGCATTTTGAAAAAAATAAACTAAAATAAAGTATCGTCCCGTGCGTCTTTTTTTGAAAATATCGTAGGGATACGTTAGAATATTTGATAATTTAGTTGGATTACTCAGTCCCTTCGCATCTCTCTCCATTTCAAGTACTGAGTTATTCAACAAATACTAATAAATTATATATAAATGAAAAAAAGATTTGGTATTAAAATTTTCTTTTTTTTTTTAAATAAGAACAAAAATTTAAATTTACAAGAATTAAAAAAATTAATTAATATCACTGGTGGCATTGAGAGGAAAATATAATGGACATTTTTGTATTCATTATGAATTAATAATAAATAATTATTATTATGATATGCGGATTTTTATGTAATAAAAAAGTCAAAATATGTAAATATTTGTGTTCTTATTTTTGCTAAGATATGTATTAAAAAACGTAAAATATTTAACAAAAAAAATCGGCATTCTAAATTAATTTTTAATTATTAACTAATAATAATTAATTTAATTATCTTAATTGTTGTCTTCTTTGAAACAATTGGATACGACGTACATTTAAAGATTTTCAAATTTTAATGTACGGCGGTTAGATTTCAAACTCGTAACGGCTGAGGGTGCATTCAACGTCAACCGAGGTTAATGGGGCATATTTCATACCACATATATGGGATGGCGTTATTTAAATATAATTTGACATATTTTTATTTTTATTATCTCTAATAGTTTAATTTTTTTTGAAAACCAACGTATTACCCAGTACGTAGTTTAATCAATTGTTATTATAATTTCAGATTATCCTTGAACTTAATTTCATTGAATTTTTGCACTTTCCACTATTGCGAGACTCTCAATTATTGTTAGATTTAATTTTTCTAATTTTTTATTATTTTAGCCAAAAAAAAAAAAAAAATTGTGGAATATATGCTAAATTATTTTGCAAGTTATTCTTTTACATAATATAAGAAGTAATAGCGATTGTAGTATCTGAATCAAGGTTTTAAATATCTTCTTTCATTTAGTTCCAATATAATAATTGTAAATTAAATAAAAACTGTATTGAAATGGTATGAAAATGTGAAATATTTACAAAATATGTAAATATTGATGAAATATTTAAAAATATGTATTTACATCGAAATATATGAAAATATGTAAGGTAAAAAATGTCTCATATTATTCAAGGTGTTATGAAACGTGCTTATTTTTAATCGGCATTGAGAGATTCACATTCAATAAAATTATGTAATTACATAAACCAACTTATTTTATTGTAAAATGGCATAGTCCCCTCCCCCCGAAAATATATTTTGGCTCCAGCATTGGTCCGAACAGGATATTTTTTGGTACTTTTCGGTAGATAATTATCTTATAGAAAAATATTCATGATATAACCACAGAATAAGTAGATTAATTAAGACCGAATGATAACTTTTGGGTGCCCAAATTTTAGTCCGCTTGAAAAGGTTTGACAGGTTTTCTAAATTATTATTATTCATATTTGTATGTATATAATTACCATCTATTTTATTTTATATAACATTTATAACTAATTATTTTATAACTAATAGTCATATAATTTTTTTTACTTTTTTCCATTATTTTAAAAGATCTCAACAACCGGCTCATTAACTCTTAGAATATTAACATTATTTATTTACACCTTTTCAAATTTATTTCTTGTGTAAATAATATGTTGTTTATATTAGTCATCATCTGGAAGTCATTTATTTTCACACTTATAAACTGAAATTGACAAAAAAAATGCAATTTTTTTAATTATTTATTATATATAAATATTTGAATAATATAACTTTATATTTTTTATAATACATATGTTAGTTGCTCCAGTGGTTTTAGTTAGTTAAATTATATGTTCTAAATATTACAGATTAACAGCAACTATCTATTATCAGCATATGTATTTTCAACATTAATTTTGATTTTTAGGTAGAACTTTTAATCAGCCAATTAAGTGAATTGATAAGTAAAGTTATTACTATTTTAAATATAATTATTTTGACCATTGAAAAATAAAATCCTTATCATTAAAGATTAGTGATATAATATAATGTAATTTACAAATATTGTATACCACCGTAATTATATAAAATATTTTATATTAAATTTTATGTCTGACCATATTTTTGAGCGGCCTCACCCACAGTGTATTTTTTTTATCAGTTACCATTCTGTTTTAATACATTCTGTGATATAGCCAAGCATTGTATTACTATTGGTTTATTGCTGTGTATAGATTTGATCATGCCTAGACTATTAAAATTTAAATGTAATTTATGATGTCTTTTAATTAAGAAAAAGTTTCAAAGACTAAATCTTTATGAATAATAAGTATGGGTAAGCTGGTATCGAGACAACCACTAACAGCAGAACACATGCCCTCAGGTATTTAGTACCAAAATAAAATACAAATATAATAATATAATTAATTTTTTTTTTTTTTTTTTGTAACTAAGGTTGATATTTTTGTACTGTAAAATAATAATAAAGCCAGATGGTTGTTTGAGGGATACACTTTATTAATAATGCATTTTACATTATAAGAATAGTTAAAAATTCAGATGTCATTCAAATCAGCAGCAACAACAACAGCAGAAACAGCAACCACCAGCAGGAACAATTCAATAGAATTGGATTTACCTGAAAACAAAAAAGATATAATAACAATGCTAGAAGTTGAATACATTTTATAATTAAAAAATATTAATTGAAAAGTGTATCATTACAAAGTAATAACCGTACAGTAGAAATATATAAATTAATTTTTTCCTAAATAATTTTATGAAAATATGTATTTGATTGAAAAATAAAGGTATTGAAAATTTGTAAATACAACAATCATAATCAAACCATCAGATTAATAAAATTTAAACCAACAGAAAGATTTTAACAAATTTTTACTTCCAATGGTTTCTTAAAAACAATTTATAAGCATAAATATTCAATAGCTGATTAAATAATTTCAACCTTTTCTAATGGTTCAATATAATTATTTTTCAGTTAATAAATGTAGGGTTAAGGTGATAAATACTTAAGGTGACCATACATTTTTCTAGTCAAAATGGGACAAAAAAAATATCTTAATAATATTTATTACAAATGTTTTTATTTAATAATTATTATCAAAATTAAGTACTGTTATGGTTTTAAGGAACAAACTAATTAAATTAATTAATAAGTTATTAATAAGTTACTCATTTTTAACATTAACTTTATATATATATTTAAGAAAAGTGTCTGCATAAAGAAAATTGTCAACATATGTCCTTCAAAAATGCATTTTACCACAAACATTACCTTAAAAATGGCATAATTTTTTTTTTACTTTGAGCATTATTTAACAAAGTATTTAATACATTAAAATCACATTCACACGTAATACAAACAAGCTGATTATTTGTTATTTGACCGATTACTGATGATGTTCAAGTCAATAATAAAATAAGATAAGAAAAACTGAATCAAAAACATTTTTTATTTAATAAAAATTAACAATGTGTTTGGAAAATCCCGATAAACCTATTTAAATATCAAGAAAATAATTTGTCCCTTGATTTTATTTTGAATAGGCTAAATTTGTTTAGTATATCTAACAAATATGCATTAAAAACCAACAAAATGACACAATACTAAAAATGCTTTAAAAATGAAAAAACGTTGAAATATACAAAATAAAATTTGTAGTTTTGAAACCCTCATTACATGAAACGAATTATGTTCTTAAAGAGCATTGTGTATGATCAACTAAAAAATATGCACTTTGCATTGAAATCAGGGCTCTACTCATCATCATCTCCATGCAGTAATAGTGTATACACGTCGCACGCACATATACTAGTTAAATATTATAGAAATAATAATTTATCAACAAATTAAAATTGACCTTAGTCATTTTTTACTACTTTCTGAAATTGGACATTTTAGTGTCCTGAACTGAAAATTCCCTGTAAGACAATAGGACAAAGATACGAAAAATGTTCATAACCGAATGTATGATCACCTTAAGCATACTACAGTTGTTTCCATGAGAAAAAGGTACCATTTGCGCAAGTCAAATTCCTTCCACGTAACTTCTGGCTATTGTCAACGATTAATTATGATGTCACTAATGATTTGTTATTTGTATGTTACATATAAACAATCAACGAGTCGCAATGGTTCTTATCGGGGGCTCGATCCATATGGCACTGTCTCTGTACAAAATGTGGTAGGACATGCGCAGTCAACAACTAGTTTTGGTCAGCGGCTGGTACCTTTCTCTCATGGAAACAGCTGTACAACTATAACATTTATTAATAATTTATTTACTTTTTAACCTAGTTAACAAGTTTGCATGATGTTTATTCCAATAATCACTAATTACATCTATCTATAAAATATTATTGTAATATTTAATACTATTAAGTTATAATAAAATTAATTATGAAAACAAAAATACACAATGTAAAAATGAACAGAATTCTTAGTCTGATTACAAATTAGTATTTTAAATAATTTTCTATTCTTACATGTACATAACGCAGTTGATTTGAGTCACATTTAGACAAATTTAAAATTAAAAATAATTTTCTTCCATCTAAAAATGTGTTTTAAAATTAATAGATTATTGACTAATATTTTTGTAATTTTTTTTTTAAATATATTAAGATTCCAAAATATAATTATCTAAATTGGTATAAAGATTCAATTATCATACATTATCTTACATATAAGCAGAAAATAAATGAGATAGGAAATATTGTTATGATAAACTACTAAACAAGTATGTATAATAAAATAATACATCCATGGCCACAAATCCACATTTCAAGGAAAATAAATATAATAATTAACAGATTAAAAATCAGTCACCCGACTAACACACGGATATTTAATGGACAACAAAGAACAAACAATCTGCACCTCATGTAACGAGACACTTACAATATAACACATATTAACAGACTGCCGATCATGACACTCAGAAAGAATAAAATACAGCATTACACAAATTTATACGAAAACATCGGACCAGAAACAAACGTTGACCTCATTCCTTTTCTCAAAGACACCGGACTTTAGAAAATAATTTAAAAAACAATATTTGTATGTATAAACAATTAAAATTTAAAAATGTAACTAATGACCACAGCAACCGAAGTTGTAAATCAATGATCAATATGAAAAAAAAAAGTATGTATAATATTAATTAATAAATATGATCTTTAAAAAAAAATAGTTAACAATTTTTTGGTATTTTAATTAGAATTATAGTACAAAAAATTGTAAATTATTACTTTAATGTTTATCATTTTAAACATAGAATTAGCATTAATCAAGCATGTTAAAATATTTAAAACAGCATTAATTAAAAGAATAGAAAAAGTATTTATTATTTATAAATATTTATTTTGAGATCAATGTAATGTTCTTATATAGTTGATAAGAATTTTTTTATCTTAAACTAGTAAACTGGAAATTTAAGTTTTTATATCTATATTTTAATAAATAGTAAATTTACTTTAAACAAGTGTGGTTTGAAAATATAATTCGGATATAAGTAGTAGTAAAAGAAGTACATTTCAGACTATATAAATTAAATTCGGTCAAAAGCAAAAATATTTATAAACTTTGGCTTTAAAAACAAGTTAATAAAAAATTATCATACTTAAAAACATAAAGTAAAATTAAAAGTAGGTATGGGATCTCACAATCAACAAATATGACCGGGTAATTACTATCGGTGTAAAGACTAGCTGAGTATAATATGCATGTGATCAGTCAAACTGATTCAGTACATAAGTTTTAAGTTGTATCAACTGAATGACATAATGATAAGTTTGACAAATGATAACTTATTTCAATTTATAACAAAGACTATGATGTAGTCCGCTATACTAGACATACCTACTGAATAATTCTACCGCAGTCTCCTGGCTTCTCTTTCGGACTCCAGCAAGGTGAGAATGTCTCCCTCGCGTACGGGTCCTTTAACGTTCCTTATGATCTGACGGTTCTGTTCACCAATGAACTCGACCTTCACTTGGGTACACTGGCCCTGGGAGCCGGTACGCCCCAAAACTTTCAGCACACGAGACAACACGACTGGTTTGTCCATAGTTCTCGATCTTAAAAAATATAAACGGTTTCAGAAAAAACAACTATCATTCGTTTAGGTATGAATACGTTGACATATGGATTACAAAATAATAAAACAATAAAATAATACTCACTAGTTTTCCTGTCGAAAAAAAAAAGAACAGACGACGTTTGAAGATCGCACGCAAAACGTGGATAAATGAGAAAGATTTATAATTATGAAATGTGAGGCTATGGCTGTACGCACGCTCTTACGGAACGCAGTGTGACCAACGTGACGGTAAGAATATCGCGTTGAATTTTTTCTTTTTCGTAGTAGGTGCTCTTTTTTCAAACGACGTTCGAATGCCGCCGCTATGATGTAGATAAAGGGTTTGTAACTGTTTCGCTCTGTAGATAAAACTAATATTATCATTATTAAAATGATTATCTATATCGTGATTCCTGCGCGGATAATAGGTATATCGTGGAAAATGTTTAATAACGGTAACTCTGATATGAACTTTCTTACGAAGCACGAAATAAAGCCACCTGACAAATAGCCACTCGACATAAAGACACGTGATTACGATGAAAAACCATCCGACAAAATGCCATCCGCCCAAAAACCATCCGTACTACACTACCTACCTAATATTTGAACACGATAATTCTCGATTATTTTTATATTTATTTCGACAAAAAGATCACAGAAATGAATTATTTTTTTACCGCTAAATTTGAAATACTAATTATAAAATTATTTCGTATACTTCGTAAATCGTATATAGCACTCATATTAAACCAGTTATAGTTATGGTTATAAACTAGTTGTAACAATGCTTTATACGTTTATTTGGCAAAGTTAATGGTGTTATGAATACGCTTATGTATCCAAATACAATTAATATAAATCACAACACGAGGCGATTCAAAAGTATTTTAAATATTATTATGATGTAAAATTAAATTAAAATTTAAAAACTATTTATAAACTTATAACTTTCTTAGAATGATAAGAATTTATCTAATATTACAAAAATATTTTTTCAGTTTCTTATAAAAAATATTTAGTTAAGATTATATGATGATTGATATAGATACTAAACACATCACATGTATATAAATAAATACTTGTATTCTGTACTAATAAAATATTGGATAATAACTAAAAATAGTATAGAATACCTTTCATTAGTATTTGAATAAATGGTATCCTTAAATGCTAATTTGGTTAGGAACTAATTATGAAATTTATCTAACTGACTAATTTGTAATAACTATAAAATTTTCAAACAATTAACATAAATGTTGGGATTTTAATTATTAAAAAATAAAGTGCATATTTAATTAGATTTATTATGTTTTTAGACTATAAATAATTGAAGTCAGTTTTGGGTAAGTATTCGTTTAAAGGTATTATACAATACATTGCGTACCTGTTTAATGTATTATAAAAAATAGTTTATGTTTAAAGTATTTACTAAGGACTTATTCAAAAAGTTAATGGAATACTTTTATCCAAGTACTTTATAACTCTGCAATAAAATCAAGCACAATCAGTTTACTTCTGTTCTACAACAATTTTGAATGCCAAGCCATCGACTTAGTCTTGTTCTAATAATAATTGTATCTAAAACTATCACTAAAAAATATAAATAGCTATTTTAAAAAATAAAGTCTACAGTGATTTTGAAATAACTAAGCACTTACCAGCAGTCTAGTTATAACAGTTAAAATAATTCTATACCTTTTTTATATAGGTACTTCCTTATTACATAATTTTTATTTATGCTCTAATTTATTTTTGATTTATGATGTTTAACTATAAAAATTATTAAAAAAATTATTAATCCAAGTTTTTATTATTGTATGTTAAAATGTAATTGGTATTTACTATTGCAAAATTAAGACCCCAACTGAAATAATAAAATGTATTCTATAAACAGTCAAAATTAATATTAATAATAATATTAATTAATATTAATAATAACATTCATTAATATTTTACAACACATTAATTTATATTTGTATTGTTTACTTATTATCTAAATTCGTAAACAATATAAAAATATCTTGGGGGTGGAAATCCCTTACCCCTCTCTATAGCAACACCTCTGCATAAATTAATAACTAATAATACTTACTCTATGAGCAGAATAGATATGTGGTTGTTCATCATTTGTGAAACATGTTTATAAAAATGTCACGAAGATACATAATCCACTATTCACAATAAATGAAGAAAAATACTTCAAATTTAAGTACCTAATGTATTAAAACAAACTATTTAGTGAAAAAAAAATCCTTGTAATATTCTCTCAACATACAAATTTAATAAATATCAATATAATATAATATGCTTTTTGTATAGTACAACACAAAATTACAAATTATAGATATAAATAATATAATATGTAGGTACATTTTTATTAAATATTTTAAAAACTATTCAAAATTATAAAATTATTCATAATACTTAGTTACAATTAACAAATCTTGTTAATATAGAAAGCAACTTAATAACTACAGCAAGGCCTTTCATACATTTGCATATTTTTTCTGGTTAACTTTATTGTATGCTTTAGTAAGTATAAAATACTTTTCATAACATTCATGATGAAATACTCAAATAAATAATTTTATTTAATCTATGGTAAAACCATTAGTATGTGCCATCTCGTTCTAACATACTCTCTCGGTAAACACTGCTTGGTGAGCGTTCCAGTTATTATATGGAGTTCAATGTAGGGGTGGGAATTGGGAATTTATCGATAGTTAATTTTTTAATGAATTAATATATTAATTTGTAAAATAAAATTGAGCAACTTTAATTTGTTTACCAGTGAAAATAAAACAAAAATTAATGAATATAAAAATATGAAGGTATACTTTGCTGCATAGTACAAAATACAAGAAATATCTATGGTATTTTACAAATTATAAGTATTAAATGAGCAAAGTATTTAAACTGTTTATTTAACTCTATGACAACCTGTTAAAATATATTATTTCATTAAAAAAAATATAGGTAATACAAAATCAAAATTTAATATAATATACAAGTAACATAGTAAAAAAAGAGTAAAAATGTATTTAATAATACCTATACTTAAATAGCACAACAAAAGTATAAACTTTTAACAAAAAAAAAAAAAAAAATGATTTAAAGTATAAAAATTATAAAATAGTTACTTTCTTTTTGGTTTGAAAATCAACATACAATCAATATTATTTAATTCTTTCTAATAAGTCTTATAATTATCACATAATAAATTACTTTTTACTTTATTCAATAGATACATACATTTCTTGTAATAAATAATATATAAATAAATAGCATATTAATCAAAAGTATTAACATTTAACTACAAAAATAACCATTTCAACTATAAAAATTATCATACTATTTATGTTAACCAACAATTTTGGTTTAAGAAAACCAACATATCGATATTTTTTGGCTTTATTCTAGATATTTTGTCTGATATCACAATTCCTGCTTTGCTAAATATTCTTTCAGAGGAAACGGATGTAGCTGGTGTACACAATATATTTTTTATACACCGTTGAAGTGTCACAAATTCATTACCATTCATCTAAATAAAATAATAATAATATTGAATGTATCTATCTTACTTACATTATAACAATTTAAATGTAAATTTTTATGATTATTACCTTCCAATACATTATGGATCTATATCACTTTTTGCATTTGGACATTCTAAATACTGTCGCAGTACTATAATATAGTTTACTGTGTCTGTTCTACTTCTTTTTTTTGCATTAATCCTTTCTTCCATAAAACCAAATAATGAATATGATGTTGAATTATTTTGACTTACATCATCTTCATCTCGATTGTTTTCATTTAATAATACATGGTTATTTTCATGCTGTGCCATCTCAGATTTAAGTAATGAAACAGCAGCTTCAGCATTGTTAGTTAAACGAAATGCTTCTTTTTTCATTCTCGGATCTAAAAGGATACTTAGCTGAGGAATAGTACATTCTTCAAATGGAAATAATCGTTTTATAACAGATTCTAATACGCTTTGTAATATAATGTTACCTTCAGGTGTGGTTGGTTTTTGAGATGAAAGATTTTTATAAATTCCACATACTAAGGGAATAACTAGAGAAGATATAACATAATTGCCCGAAATCTTATATGTGGTTTCATCAAATATACCCAAAATCAGTATTAGATCTTACAATATAAGATAGTCCTCCAGTGTTATAATGGCAGGTGCTTTAGGCATTGTCAATAACGCAATTGTTATTTCGCTATTTATAAGAGATATTCTTTGGATCATGTGCAAGGTACTGTTCCATCTAGTTGGACATGATTGTACAAGCTCAAGAGGCTTTTTATTTATTTTTTCTTGTTCATCAAGTAATTTTTGTGTAGCTATGTTACTAAATTTAAAATATGTTACAATATCTTTGCATTTTTTTAAGACTGGGAATATCTTTATGATTTAATGCATCTTCAAGAACTAAATTTAAAGTATGGGCAAAACACAGAGTATGCCGAACTTTTAAAATTTCACATGCTTTTATCATAGATGATGCATTGTCTGTGACAATAGATACAATTTTATTCTTTTATTTTCCAGGTATTACAAATTATTCAAATTTCTTCTGCAATATTTTTTGCAGTGTGGTTACCTTCCATTAAATTTGTTGATAAAACTGCACAATGTATATTAAAATCAGTATCAATAAAATTAGATGTAACAGTTAAATATCCCTTATTTGATCTAGATGTCCATAGATCACATGTTAAACTGATATAAGATACTTCTCCAAATATTGCTAATAGTTTTATTTTATTTTCTTCGTATTTTCTTTTTAATAATACATTTGTTAGAGTTTTTCTAGATGGTAAATCATACCTAGGATCTAACAGTTTAATACAATTTTTAAAACCAACATCTACTAATGAAAATGGTTGAGTCTTTACATACCATAAAAACAAAGGCTTTATCCAACTTAAGATTTCTGTGACTATTGCGGTCATATGCAGTTTGCTTTTTGAAAAATGATGTAATTGTAACAGAAGAAGTACTTGTCGTGTATGTCATCTTCACTCGGTTCAGTCGACTCTAATTCAGCGTGAAGTCTTTTAAGGTGGTCCCTCAAATTGCTAGTATTGCCGCTTGTCTTATATTCTTTTTTACATTTGTTACATTTCACTATACTTCTTTCCTTATTTTTCGTAAAATGTAATCAAACGTTAGAAATTTGTTGACGAGACATATTCAAAAAATATTCGACGCTATTATACAAGACACAATTCAACACTAATAGATAACTATCACAACTGATCATTTAGACTGACATACTAAAGGGTTTTTCTTTTTTTACTTGATTAGTGTTTACTGTTTTATTTTTATACCAAACAAAATACAAATATAACTATTTTCAAATATTTTCAAAAAAAAATTATCGTTAAAACTATGATAACTGATAAGGACTATCGCTTACTATCGTTAGCCCAAAAATTAAATAACGATTGTAGATGATACTTTAAACTATCGATAGTTTCTCACCATAAGTTCAATGATCGTCGTCGGCGTTCAACGTTGTGGTGCGTTATTGAGTCGTTTCCTGCCTTTGAACGTCTGGAGAAAATACTAACGGCCTTGCAGCACATTAGTCCGTGTATTGTCACACAGAACGTCCAAAATGTATGATGATGTGGATTACATCAATCCGAATACAGGCACCGATAACGTCTGGCAACATACCAAAGGAAATGTCAATAAAAAGTTAGAGCGTGCCGAGCCGTACAGGTTTTTCTTATCTCCTGTGGATTGTGACCCTTCAACACACGTGGAGAACCTGACACTATCGTTTGCAGGTACATAGCCCTTACTCAGATACGGTAGTTTAAAATGTTCATAGACGCGCTCATGGAGGGTTTGGTATGTATGGTCACGTACCCCTTCTCCCGAAATTTTGTGAACGGAGCCCTTAAATTTAAATCTATAAATTTTATAGAACTGATCAGGGGCATATTAAAGGTCAATATATGGGCGGAGCAGCAAATTAATTTTGCGCCCCTATGCATATTGATAAATAAAAATGTAAATTAGAATAAGAGAAACAAAATTTCCTCGCTTCGCTCTGACAATTATTTCTTCAAATTCACATTTTTATTGATTTTAAAACTATTGAAATAGGCTTGATGTACAGTTACAATTATAGCATACTATATTTATAAAATTATATATTAATTATATATTATATATATATATATATATATATACGTGTTTGATTAACAATTAAATTACATTATGTTATAATAAAATCAACGTTAATATAACCTAAATGAATTTAATATAATATAGGTACCTACATCCAGTGGCGTGGTGATGTGGGTAATCGAGAGGCAGCCACTTCTCAGTTTTTTGGGGGGTGGGTAGGTATCGACAAAATATAATTGCAACTGAAAACTTTTGATTTCACCACTCCATTGCCTACATCCATAAATCAGGGTTTAAGATATTATCTATTATATAATCAGTGGCTGAGAGCACGGGCCTGTGTATTTGACACACGCAACACATCTGGTTATTGCGGTATTGCATATATATTTATATACCTATAATATAGGTCCTATATAGGTATATAATATGTATAATTAACTGTTTACATATTATGATAGATTACAGAAATATTTTATGAAATACTCTGATTTATAATATAATCTATAATAGTACATTGATATATAATTATTATAAGTTTTAATTCTGAGGTTTCCAATTTATTTCAACTTCTCTTCTTCTTCTTAACTTTTACTAATCTTTTACTTCTTAGACTTTGTAGTCTGGGTAGAGAGAATATTATGATATTTTTATTATTTTGCTACAAATACTTCTGTGAAAATATTCGTTCGTATACATTTTTTACCAACCCTTAAAACTTCCGCCCATGTAAAATATTCTTTTTACCCCCTTCCCTTAATGTGCCTCTGGAACTGATAACTAGTTAAACTTCGAGTACACTTTCATGCAACCGGACTTAAGAATAAGAAGCCTGTATTTTTACTAATGTTGCTCAAATTGAATGTAATTCTAAAATAATTGGCAAAAAATACCTAAACTATATTTCATAATTAATAAAATAAAACAAAATGTCCTGAATTTTGTTGCAGAAACTTATGATAATATATCAGCTACAAAAGTACAAATCATAAATAATTGATTCTATCTGAAAAAAAAAATAGGAGATTTAAGGAAAACATATCCGTTATGCTAATGTTCCACAACATTAAATAAAAAACTGAAGGAATATTTATTTAATTATTTATAAATTATAATTTATTTAATATACCTACACGTTTTGTTGAGATAGGGCCCAAAAGTATTGTAGGAACCTCCTGAAATACAGGTCTGTGCACGCTTATGAGCATGAACAGAAGTAGGTAACTGTGTTCAGTGGCGTATTTTGGGGGGTGTCCTCCATGTCTGGACACCCCTCGACTTTAAAAAAAAATAAAGGCCTTATATTATATTGATTTTATCGTTTATTTTATAATGCTTTTATTTAATAATAAAATAAACGGCACTACGAAGTAAACAAAAAAATATAACTAGGCCAATATTGTGACAATAAAATAGCTTAGCTATCCACAGAGAAGTTAATATTGATGTCAATAAAGTGATTGACGAACGTATTTTAAATAAGAGGCACTTAGATCTCTAGTAATAAATAAAAATAATAATAATATTGTAATTTATTGTAATTTTACAATATATTTTAATATCTTTGTATCTGTACAATATTATAAAAGGTAATTTTTAGAATAAATCTCAGTGATTAGTATCAAGTAATAACTTCCAACATGTCTATTATACCATGTAATGGTCTTAAATTACAAATTACTTGTTAATTTCTAGTTATTTAAAAAAAGTTAGTTCGATACTTCTTCACATCAGTAAATACGATCTATAAGGGACCTAAAGAATCAGATCGTTATATCCGAAACTCGTTGTATGCGGATGACGAAAACATTATCTTCGTGAGATATAAAATCGACCAAATATATAACTAGGAATCGTTTTAACAGGAATATCGCTGTGTACGGCATCGTAATAAGCGGAAATCTACTGTAGTTCTAAAATTTTCGTTTGTGAAGTTCATTAAATGTTGGACATCCCCCGAAAAATCACCCAAAATACGCCACTGACTGTGTTTGTATAGTATATATCTTATTGTATTTCAGAACTTTTAGACAAAAGTCTTGGTGACTTGGAAGAGTCACTTCATATAAACCTCATAATTAACTTAAAATGGCTCTATGAACAGTATCGAATCACTGGACAGAAGTAATATGACAATATATTTTAATTAAAATTATTTTCTGAATTTATACACTCTGTACAGTATTTAAAAAGAACTTAAGATTTATATTATTTAGTATAAAAGTTATAGAAACTTAAAAATAAACTATATACATTTGAACCTGTTTAATGAACTTGGTGGTTCTTCAAAAAAAAAAAAAAAAAATTCAAATATAAACTTTGTTAGAAATAAATACAATTTTTTTTTACTTAAAAAAATTGTTTTTAAAGAACAAAATGGGCGAAAATAATGATTTGTAAAATGTGTAATAAAAACTATAGTAAAATATTATACCTCAAAGCAGTGGCGTAGCCAGGATTTTTAAATGGGGGGGGGGGCTAACCACTTTTTTGGATAAGTAAGGTAAGAGAGGATATGAGAATTCACCCTTAACCCCCCACCATCTACCACCAAGTTTTTAAACTTAATTCAAGCATTTTAGTATAGTTTTAAAAATATATATTAATATATAATTTATAATAATAATAATAATTTTGGTTTTAGTGTTCAGTCACTTGCTCCACTCTGACAGCTGCATCCTCTTAGGCGAATTTTTGGCAAATTCAGTTATTATTTCACTTTCATCGAATTGCTCTTTTTTTATTTATATAAGCCATAGCTAACCCATTCAGTCTGTTTTCCGATATAGTGCTTCTTAAAAAAAATTTTAAGCGATTAAGTGCTGAAAATGTTCTTTCCGGAGTGAAAGAGGTAACTGGTAATGTGGCGAATAATTGTAAAAGTATTTTAATGTTAGGTCGAAGATTGGTGCGATGAGAGAGTGAATCAAGAGCAGAATTCGGTTTTGGAATAGTATTTTGACTCTATTGTTGCCTCCATATGAACAGGTCAGCTCTGATTGTAGATGAGGTATCATCATGAAGATCTTGGACATATATTTTAGCAGTTTTTATAATATTTTTATCGTCATACATATTTAAATTGGCCGGAATAAGTCCTTCAAGTAGCATAACATCAATAAGCCTTTGATTAAAACGAGCATCCATTGATTCTATTAAATAGTCAAGATGCATTATACATATAAACACGGCCCATGGGGGGGGGGCTATAGCCCCCTTAGCCCCCTCCCCCCCTTGGCTACACCACTGCTTCAGAGATTTTCAATCTTTCTTTCCTCCCATACCCCTATGTTAATACTTTGCTAAAATAAAGTTTCAGGTTTATCTTCATGTTTAATGTAGTGATATATATTTTTTTTTTTTTTATTAAGGGATAAAATTTCAATTCTGTTTCATTCTTGTGATTATGAATTAGATGAATTGAAAAAAATACCAAATTTAAGTTATAAACAACTTAGACTACCAAATCTATTTAGTCTTCAACAGAGGTTAGTAACAAAATATATATTTTAGTTTTTATTTAACCCTTTGAGTGCCAAATTAATTTTGGACAGTACCATCTCCTGATCATAATTTTTTATTTTATTTTTCTTATGGATTGCATAATAAAATGACTAAAAAGGAAAAAAAAATTTTGAATCATTTTTTCTAAAGTTATTGGTAATTTAGATCCATGTGGCCATTGGTTCTTAAAATATAACTAATATATGATAAAAATGTAATATTAGCAATTTCAGATTCAAACAAACTCAGCCACAAAATCAATTTTATTCTCATCATAGGTTTGTATTAAAATGTATATTTTAGTTTTTATTTAATATATAATAAAAATTTAATATTGGCAATTTCAGTAAGCTATCAATGTTTGCTTACTCAGATGGAAGTATACGAATTGTAGTTATGACTGGAAATCTTCGAAAGTTTGAATTTACAAACATAACTCAAGGGTAAAATATTACTGTTTTTTTTTTTTTTTTTAATTTGAATCTATCATTTATTTATTTAGGTTTTGGGTAAGCCCAAAATTCCCATTGAAAAATGAAGATGATAAATCTGATGGCGACTCAAAAACAGGCTTTAAAAAAGATATTCTGCGATATTTAAATTCTTATAATAATATACCATTATTAAGATCTTGGATACAAAAAATTGAAAAAGCTGATTTCAGTGAAGCAAAGTAATTATTAATGTTAATATATATTATCATCATAAATTAATATTGGAAATTTTTGTTGCGTAGTGTTTTTTTTATTCCTAGTATTCCAGGCAAACATTTAGAGCCAATGTGGGGTCATCAATACTTAAAATATATTCTGAAAACGCATGCTTGTATACCATTTGGTCAACCATCAGACTGGCCCATAATATCCCAAGTCTCTAGTTTGGGGATTTATGGTGATAGTTATAAAAACTGGTTATTATCAGAATTGGTTGAAAGCTTTTCTCAATCTACCCATTGTAGCACTGATAAAGCTGTAAACTTCAATGTGGTTAGATTAATAATTATTTTAAATTTTAATATTACTTTAATTATCAATTTTATATTTCAGATTTTTCCGACTATGGATAATATTTTAAACAGTTGGGATGGACCAGTAGGTGGTTCATGTGTGCTATACTGTGATGAAGTACACCAAAAACAAACATGGCTTAAAAACTACATGCGGTGATCATTAATTAATAAAATGTGTTAGTACATTAAAATATAATACATCTTTTGTAATTTTATACATTTTATACAGTAAGTGGGTTTCTAATTCACGAAATCGATCAAAGGCCGTGCCACATATAAAGACCTACTGCCGGATTTCACCTTGTAATACAGAAATGTCTTGGTTTTTACTGACTAGTGCTAATTTATCAAAAACGGCATGGGGCAAAAAACTTTGGCAGGATCGAAGTTATACTATAAGCGCATTTGAAGTTGGAGTTTTATTCTTACCTCAGTTTTTGGTATAATTATTAATTTGAAATTTTATATTATCCACTTTTATAAATTTATAATTGTTACAAATAATTTATTTTGGCAGACCGGATGTAATACATTTTCTTTAAATCAGAAACAAAATAATGGTAGATCACCACCATTTCCCTTGCATTTTGATCTGCCATTGTCTCCATACTCAAGTACCGATCAGCCATGGCGAGTAGATGCGTTAGACTCTTGAAGTACGTGATCATATAAAATTATAAAAAAAAAAGGTTAAGAACTTTAAAAAGCTCAAATTTTGAGACGGTTACCCATATGAACTATTATGGATTACATGATGCTACATTTTAATTATCTATATTTTTTTTTCTGCTTTACATAAATATTTTTATCTTTTGAATAAAAAATAAATTATTTTATATTATTAATAACAATGTTACTGAGTACGCTATTCTTTAAATAATTTTTGGTTTCATTGAGACACAATGCTACTTCACATATTGAACAGAACCATTTGCTGCAATGAAGTTAAGATTTAGAACTGCCACTTGCACATCTTCTAGATTTATCTAGGCAGATGATTAACAGTATAAAAACATTATTATATTATATAATACTTTGATTATAACTATTTGTTAATTTTAATGGTTTTTCACTCCATGTGGTGATGGCTTTATGTTACTAATGCAGTGGCCACAGCTCAATAAAAAAAAATTTGAGCAAAATTTTTTTTCCTCAATTGTATATACTTGAAATGTATAATATAAATGCATTATATATAGTCTATGTATATATGCATGTCTAGGAGTTCGTAAAATGTAATTTTGTATTTTTCTCTAACTGATGAAAATTGATGCCCTTCACTATTACCTTGAAGTAATTTCTTAGGAGTTTTTTTATATTCTCAGTTCATTTGGCTTTTTCAGTTTTAGTTCATTACTAGATTTTACTGAAATTTGTTCCCATAAGTTGTCAAATCCAGTATCTCTTAATTGTTGAATAGACAATGTTTTCAATTTTTAATTGTGCGTTAAATACACGTTATAAATATCCAATATTCTAATGGGTGCCCAGCCCTCTCATAATTTCAATGGGTATCTTAGCCTCCGGGCACCCATGTACATGACCCCTATGCTTAACCAGATATGCAGCTAATTCAAAAAATATTGACAACGCTTGACGTAAAATAATACAAAAGATTCCTTCCAATTTGACTGAAGTTCACGAGTTATTACGTAATGAAGTAATTGTTACTGAAGAAAAATAAAATCCTGAAAAGATTATTATTTTATATTCAACTGAAAAAAATAAAATATTCCTCAGATCATTGACATGTATTTATGTGGACGGTATGTATAGTTACAGTTCGAAATTTCACTATTAAATGTTAACTATACACGGATTTAAAAATGATTATTGGATACCTTTAGCATTATTTTTATTACTCGATAAAAAAAATATATATATACATATTTAAAAGTTTTTAATTATATAAATGAAAAATGCTTGTTCCTTTAACACGAATTTTCACCGAAATATATTTATTTAGTTAAAATTCTTTGTCAGTAGAACCAAAAAAGACCAGAACTGATGAAGTTAATAAAATCATGTCTTAAAATATCTACTTTGTGGCCTCAGATTTATATACTCAAACTGTCGAAAAATATGAGGGTATTCATGGAAGGTGAAAAGTTTTCTGGTAGATTTGCAGATCTTTTACTTGAAATTGGCAATGGATTGGGATTTTTCATTCGCGTGCCCGCTCTTAACATGTATGCACCACCTCATTACGCTCGTTTGTTTCTCTTTCGTAAAATATCTCAAAGTTTTGTCTTTTTATATATTTTACACCGATCGAACCAGCTCACCACGATCTATCGTCCAACATTAACCGCGTTCTCATTGAAAGGATCAAATCCCATCAAAAATCGAACACGTAAGTTTTAATTATTATTATTATTTTCGTCTACACTAAAATAATCAATTGCCGTTTCGTCAAGACCCAACGGTCTTATCTGTCTTGAATAAACCGGACCGCTTATCGGTAAACTATTAAATAATGACTGTCGACCCGCATAAAGTATCTCCGATAAAAATTATCAATAAACTGACTGTCCAAAAGTCAATTCCACATAACATTTCCGATGTCGACGACGATATATTTGTTAACGATTGGACTGAAGTCAAATTACCAAACATCTCCCGAGCGCCAAACTAAAAATAAAAAGTCATCAAAGAACTCTTCTAAAAATTTCACTACCAGAAATCGTTTTGCTGAACTATCTAATGAAGACAAAGATCTCAACATGGAAATAAATACCGATATCGCAGATAAAAAACCACCTCCTATTTTTATCAAAACGTTCATTAAAAACTATTTTAACTTTTGTGACAATATTAAAAAAGTAATCGAACCGGACTCTGACTTTTTATGCAAAAGTACAACAAGCGCGTTAAAATTAAATTTAACAACAACAAATTCATTTCGGGCAGTTATTAAATTCTTCAAAGGGAAAAAGGTCGACTACTATATTTACCAATTAAAGGAAGACAAATCATATCGTTATACGAAACTTACACCATACAAAACCAATCGAATTCATTAAAGAAGAATTAAACCGGAAGGGATTTCTTGTTCGCAACATAACAAACGTCACCCGGCAAATTACAAGGGATGTCCAATCTTTAAAAATCTCCAAAATCGTATTCCTAAAGTTCAGCATCAGCAAAAACTCAAACCAAGCTTGGAAGAATCCGCCTTTCCAAAATTAATATTAGATTCAAATTCCCATACAACTAATACCTCAGAATCTTTTATAAAACAAAACAAAAATCTTTCTTATACTCAAGCCACTCAAAATAATATAAATCCAACGAATAATGCAATAATAGCTGACCAATGTCCTCCCGAAAATTTAACCATACTTCTATCGTCCTTTATAAATGATCTCAAGTCTCTTTTAAACCCACTCATATCCCTTCTCACAACAGTAATTAATAAAATACTATTAAAAGATGATAAATAATCAATACCCCAATTCATATTTAACAATAATCCTTTGGAACGCCAATGGATTAAAACAAAACAAAAACGAATTCCAATATTTATTACAGATTTAATATTTATTCCTATATTGATATACATCGTCACTACGATAGGAGAAACTGTTTTTGTACCACGAATCCCTTTAATTCTGAACTATCTTCTGTTCAAATTTAAACGATTACAGTTTCCCTTCAAAGTCTGCTTTGCAATGACTACAAACAAGTCTCAAGGCCAGACACAAATTTGCAGAAATAGACTTGCTGTAAAACTGGTTTTCACATGGGCAAGCATAAACTCAGTGGCGCCCAGACAGGTTAGCAAGTGATGCAACTGCATGTTCTCTCGAGGATGGTGGGTAAGTGGTTGTATAACTTGCAGTGCCGGCGCTAGGTTTTTCGCTGCCCTGTGCCAATTATAATATCTCACCCTTTTATAATTTTTTTTTGTGAAAAAAAGGTCATTATCCTTAATTATGGGGGGGAGGTAGGGTGTTGGGGAGATAGTCTCTCAAAATCGAATGAAATAATGCGTATAATTTATATGAATAATGTTTTAATACTTGAATCAAATGTGATGAACATATAATGTACCTAATGAAACAAAATTATAGTATAAAGAGTTACAAAATATTTGAATTTTACATAAAATTTATAACTTTTTTTTTTTGCCTTGGCGTTGGCAAAATCGTTGACAATGTTCTCTAAATTTAATTCTTCACCTAGCTGATGCACAATTGCAAGTTCACTAAGGCGATCATTAGTCATTGTTGTGCGTAAGTAAGTATGTATTAATTTAAGCTTAGAAAAGCTTCTTTCACCACTTGCCACCGTGAGGGGTAACGTAAGAAGTATTCTTAAAGCAACTGACACATTTGGTGCAAAGTCTCCAGTATTGATGACAAATTTTAAAATTTCAACAGGTGTTAAGTTTGATTCAATCATTGGTATTAGAGATTTAAGTTCATCAGCCATTCCAAGTCCATTAATATCGACTGAATCTCCATCAGTCAACAATAGTTGTAAATCGTTGCAGTATTTTAGTAGGTCTTTGTGAGACATATATTTTAACTTACTAACGTCACACAAAAAAAAAAAAAAGAAATAGTCACTGTGCTCTTTTAAATTTTCAAATCTTTCATTTATACTATTTATAGCGACATTTAAAATATAGTAAAAGAAGTTAACTTTGAAATGAGTTTTAGGATCGACATGTTCGTAATTAAAATGTCTTCTTACACGGCGAGCTCTCCTAAATGAGAACTTAAATAAAGGTTCTACATCAATTTCTGATGCCAATTGTGTAGCTTCAAGCACAATTTGATCAAACGAATCATCATTATCGAATCGCTGCTTTTTCAAATATGATAACAAATTTTCTAAAATGTTCATAACTGCACTAATGTCATAATTAATTTTTTGCATTAATTTGCTTACTGGATTAATTTGGTTTAGTAAATCATACCAAATGATAATAAAACAAAGGAACTTAAATTGCTTAATGTGCTTACATAGATAATCAGCTTCATGTCTAGTTATTGTGTCCAAATTTGAATCTTGCACAATTTCAAACAACGCATCATATATTTCTCTAATTTGGTGTCGAAATGATTTTAGAGCTTCAATCCTACATTCCCATCTAGTCTGACTCAAATTTTTGACAGTTAAATTTGAAATATTATTTAAAAGAACTTGCCAACGATGAGTGGACGACGAGAAGAAAATTTACACTTTTTGAATTAAAAAATTTAAAAAAACTGAATTGTTTCTAATGAAGACTTAACAGCGTCATTAACGATAAGATTTAGTGAATGTGCACTGCAAGCAACAAAAAAAGCGCGATGGTTTATGTTTCGAATTCTACGTTGCACTCCCGAGTGTTTTCCTCTCATATTTGCCCCATTGTCGTACCCTTGACCACGTATGTTTTGAATTGGTATTCCAAAACCATTCAGTCTTTGTAAAATAACGTCAGAAACGCTCATTCCAGTTGAACTTTGTATAGGAACAAAACCAAGAAAATGTTCTCCGATTGAAATATTAGACTCATTTTTGGACTGTTCAATGAATACAAAACGTATAATAATTGTCATTTGTTCAGTATGGCTTAAATCAGGAATGCAGTCTAAAATTATACTGTAATATTTAGCTTCTTTTACCATACTAAGTATCCGTGATTTAATAGCATCAGATATCAAATTTATGATTTCATTCTATATTTCCTTAGCCAAGTAATGACTTTTATTTTTACTATTTATTGTACGTCTAACATGTTCATCCATTAAAAGATCATATTTTGCTATAAGTTCAATGATTTTCAAGAAATTGCCGTTATTATGCTGGTAAAGTTGATCTGAAGAACCACGAAATGCCAAACTGTTGACCAAGAAGCTGTACTACTGACACAATCCTCTGCAAAATTCCATTCCAATATTGTTTTTCTGATTCTATTAAACGTTGATTAGCTTGATCAATTGTTTTTGAGACTTTCAATCTTGAAGATAATTCTATCCACATTTGATAGGATTTTAAATGCGAATTAGATGTTTCATGTTCTTTCAAAATAGTAGCAACGTGTCTCCAATCATTAGATCCATCGGTTCCTAATTTATTTTTCGAATTTGAAAAAAAGCTTACAGTAATAACAGAAAATAAAATTTTTAAAAAGGGAGTAGACGAGTCATGTTCGTGGAATTTTTTCACCATTACTCAAACAACGTTGATAGTTAAAAACTGTGAAATGACGATTGTTGCCATCTAAAGGGAATACATAATTTTTGTCGATGGGTAGAGGAGGGCCATTTTCGACAATCATCGTTTTAAACTTATCACTTATGAAATTAGGCCAAGTAGCGGGATCAGAGTTAAAAATCAATGTTAGTTCTTTAGATGTCGAGACTATATCAGTTGAAGATTTATCTAAAGAAACTTCAGTGTATTCGCGGTGGTTTTCTAATTGAGTTTCGAGTATATTGTTAGAATTATTACAAAACTCTCAATTTATTGTTAATGCATCTAGTTCAACAATATTTTCATGGAGATTATCAGTTGATAGTGATGTTTCAAGATATGTTTCTTGAACCTGACTAGTAACTCTGTTACTGGTCAATTTTTGAGAAGTAGATTGTTGACAAAACTTGTTTATAGCTCCAGTTTGTTTTTTAATTTTTGCATCTTTTTCAGCTTTTCTTTTTCTATATTCAGATCCTGAGAGACATTGCCGTCCATCTGACATTTTTAATTGTTAAGATCAATATTTAAGTCGAGATAATTTAAACTAAAAAAAAGAAACAGAAAATGATCAGAAAATTCCAAAATTTTTACCCACTTGTTTAAAAAAGTATACTTTTTTAAATTTAAATTATAATTTAAATAACGTATGAAAATTTCAGATAATTTGGACAATAATTATTTGAGGAGTTATCTCATAGAAGATAATAAAATATAATATAATAAGAATATAATAAGATAATAAAATAAATGAAGAAGTTATTACAAATTTTACGATTAAGTACCTATCAACTGCTCAGCAGTGTGTAATTTTTTGTTTATAATAATAAGATAAATAAATAAAATTAACTTATTAAAATAATAATACACTTACCATAAGCAGTACCGTTCCTAGGGGGGTGGCAAGCGGTGCGATCGCACCGGGTCCCGCGCTTGTGCGGGGCCCCACAGACCAGAAATTACACTGTTACGAATATAACTTTATCTATAAATAAACATAATAATATTGTCCCCGTAGACGGTAATACGGATATCGTGATCCGTGTTGTTTTCTTAGGAAACTGTTATCGACGAAAATCAAGACAATACCAATTATACATAGCTATACAGTTTTATACACTGGTTATGTACTTGTACAATTGTTTATCTTTGACGATGATCGACAACAGTACAAAATATATCTGTAATAACATAGTGTGGTGAACCATCACCACATAATTCCCGCTTGGAGGTGGTAACATTGTTGTTGGGCGGTTAGGCACCATGGTTGTCGACGACGCGAACAACCGCCACGACAGGGCGGCTGTCACCCATCTCTCTCCATCTGTATCGCGATCCGTATACACGTCCCACGAACGACTTCGAACCACGTTTTTTCGCTACCTCGTGACTACTGTCATCATCCGCACTTGTGGTTTTCTGTATATATGTTTTTTTGGTTGTTTTTTTATTGCATTCATACATAATAAACGCCTTTTTTATATAATTAATATCGTTGTTTATCTCCCTGTGGTAGTACACCGATATTCCTTTTCGCTGTTGGAGGTGGTCGTGTTATCCACTAACACGAGAACTCCACAATAGTATAAAATAGTACAGTGGTGGCCAAACTACGGCCCGCGGGCCAACTCCGGCCCGCCATCATTTAATATCTGGCCCGCGAAAGTCTTCTATATTACAGCACTTATTTGTATAACTGTAATATTTTGCATTTACGTAAAAAAAAATTTAGAATGCTTTTTTTTATGGCCCGCAATAAAAAAAAATTTTTTTTTTGGCCTCCACTGAAATAGTATAATGATGTTTTTCTTTTGCAATTTATTATTAACGAGAATTACGATACCTCATAATCTTGATATTGCCTACAAAAGGCTACACGGGTAACGCTCGTCACTTACTACGAGACATTCAACAAGTTAACGACGATTGACGAATACGTGTTAATTTATCGGACATCGCTTCATTAATAAACAGGTATTTACTATTGTCGATTTTAATTACTTACATAAAATAAATATTTTGAATATGGATTACGAAATAAGTATGTGTACTACAATGTCTATATTTTAATATCTTACCTTGGTTACGTCCGTATGACCGTAATATTATATTTCTGATGGTGATCACGCTACACGCATAATGTAACGCCCATAATACACATTACAATAATTATTATTAGATAGGTAGTATTTTTTTCTCAGGCATTTATTTACAAAAACTATACTTTGTAGTTCGTATACTTCTGTATCATGTCATCTAGAAATCGGGATAAATTTAGAAGTTATCCATCAGGAAATTCAAAAAGGCAGAAAAAAAACACAAGAGAAAAAAGTTTAAATAAACTACATGGATCTTTCAACAAATTTGTTACAGTATCTTTAAATTCTACCCAATCGTTTCAAAATTCTTCGACAAAGAATAGTCAAAACAGTATTAATGATAACACTCCAGTTCTTGAAGTTGATATTTCTGAACAAATAAATGAAAATTATAAAATTGATACTGGTTCTTCAAGTTTAGAAATAGACAACGAAGTTGAAATTAATAAATTACAAACCAAAAGTAATAGCAGTGGTAATGACTTTATTATAAACACAGTAAATGATTACGATATGACAGATATTGAGAATGATAAATTTGATACTCCTTCTTCAAGTATAAAAATAGATAACGAAGTTGAAATTAATAAATTACAAACCGAAAATAAAAGTAGCAGTAATGACATTATAAACACAGTAAATGACTACGATATGACAGATATTGGTTGTTGGCCTAAAATAATAAATAGTGATTGCAGAAAAGAGCTTATAAAACTGGGGCCAATACTAGTTCAAAGCTATAATTTTCCTCAATCTGAAATAAATGGTGGGCTAAGACGTTTTAATTCAATGATAAACGTTTAGACAACGGAGATATTATTAAACGAAACTGGTTAGTATATTCAAAATTTAAAGATAGAACTTTCTGTTTTTGTTGTATACTTTTTGACCCTCATCCTACTGGTAATTTAAGCAAGAATGGTATAAACGATTGGCAACATATTGGGGAGAGACTCAAGTCTCATGAAATCACGATTCCACATTATACTTCCTTACAGTCATGGATTGAATTAAAAAAAAAGAATATCAGAACTCAATACTATAGATAAATTACATTTGACTAAATTAAACGCGGAAAAAACAACATTGGCATGATGTTATTATACGAATACTAGCGGTTATCCATTTTTTAGCTAAAAATAGTATTGCATTCCGGGGTTCCAATGATATTTTATATCAAAATATAATGGAAAATTTCTTAGTGCGATTGAAAAACTTGCCAAATTTGATCCTGTTATACAGAAACACTTAAAACGCATTAAAGATAAAGAAACTCATATCCATTACCTAGGACACAGAATTCAAGATGATTTTATAGAAATAATGGCAAATAAAATCGAAAATTAATTATAAATTTAATTAAAAAACATAGGTACTATTCCGTGATCATTGATTGCACTCCAGATATTAGCCACCATGAGCAAGTATCTTTAATATTTAGAATTGTCAACATGCATTGGGACGAATCAACAGAACCAAGCATTCAAGAATTGTTTATGGACTTCGTGAATATTCATTCAACGTCAGGATTAAGTCTTTCAAATGTATTGATTTCAAAACTTGCAGAATATGAGATACCTTTAAGAGACTGTCGGGATGAGGAGTATGATAACGGAAGCAATATGGTTGGAGAATATCAAGGAGTGCAGTCACGTATTCGAGCTTAAAATCAAAGAGCATTTTTTGCTCCATGTGCTGCTCACAAGCTAAACTTACTCCTTTGTGATGTTTCTCAAAGTTGTATTAGAGCTATATCATTTTTTGGAATGATTGAACGTGTGTACACTCTATTTTCAGCATCCACAAAAAGATGGGATATTTTAAAAAAACACTGTTCTATAGTGTTAAAAAAATGGACAGCTACACGATGGGAAAGTAGATATAAATGTGTTAAAGCAATTAAAGATCAACTATCTGAGGTACTAAATGCTTTAGAAGAAAAACTGAATGCTCTAATGATCCAAAGTCAGTGAGTGAGGCAAAATCAATTATAGACGAACTGATGATTTTTGAATTTGTTATAAGTCTGGTAATCTGGCTTGATATTTTGGGTCAAGTTAAAATTGTAAATAAAATTTTACAAGATCCTAAAATGGATTTAAATGCATCGGCTAGCAGCATAGGTAGTCTTATCACTTTTTTAGAAAAATATCGTACAAATGGATTTGAAAACGCCAAATTGGTTGGAATGGAAATCGTTAAATATATTGGTGGAACTGCTAACTTCAAGGGAAAAAGACCAAGAAATAAAAAAAAAATGTTTAACTACGAAAGTAACGATGAATATACAATTAGTTCAGAAGAAGCTTTTTGTCGTGATTACTTTTTGATCCTAATTGACCGTGCTACGGAAGCATTGAGAGTACGGTTGGAGTACCAAAGCACATTTAACTCCAATTTTGGATTTTTGTACAGAATTGGAAAACTTAAACATCAAAATGATGGTTTTATTAAAAATTGTTGCAATGATTTGCAAAACGTATTGAGTGAAGGCAATTTTAGAGATATAAATGGTGCAGATTTATACATGGAACTTCTTATTTTTCGAAGTATAATAGATGAAAACGCAACAACTCTATAGGCATTATCTTTTTTAAAAAATGTTTCTAGTTCATTTCCAAATATAGAAGTTGCAATTAGAATAATGCTCACCATACCAGTTACATCAGCTGGTGCTAAGCGTTCATTCTCTAAATTGAATCTGATAAAAAATTATTTAAGAAGCAATCTATCACAGTATAAGTTATTGGACCTGGCCCTTATCAGCATCGAACATAATATTGCTGATTCTTTGAGCTACAATGAGACAATCGCACTGTTTGCATCAAAAAAAGCACGGAAAAAAAATTTAAATAATATTATATTATGTTAATTTTTTTTATTCTTAGTAAATGTAAACTCATTGCATCATTATTATAATTTATGTTCAATATAATAAAAATATTAATTAATAAAATATTGTTTGTACATTGTTCATATATACAAATTTAGGTTTCTAACATAACTAAAAGGGTTTAAAGTTTACAAAATTATATAAAATTAAAGTAAGTCCCTAGAAAATAAAATAAATGTGTATATTGTATAATAATTAATAAATTAATTTATACGGCCATTGGCCATATTGGGCCCCCAAAATTCTGCACCGGACCCCGAAAACTATCGGGCCGGCACTGACCAAAATATGAATATGACGTGATGATTGACTAAAAAATATGCACAGTACGCTCGATGTCATTAACAACTCGTTGACAAATAATTTTTAAATTGCACGTAGGTACAAATGTACTGCAAAGATATTCATAGTCAATAGACTATGTATAGTTGTCACTCTTCACGGGTAAACTAGTTTTTATCGCTAATAATTATCGTACATACGTTTTTGGGAACTTTATCATAATTTGATTCGGTTTACTGGAAATCTTAAAGATAATCTTGAATCACGATGAACAAATGAACAACAACGCTACCGGCTAGCTCGTATTATATTGTTTATTAATAAGTACCTACTTATTTAATACTATATAGGTAAACCGATAATATGACACAGTACCAGTCAAAATACTATAATATGCATTATATTAATTTTAAATAAATAATTTAAAAAATAACTACCAATTTATGAGTAGGTACTTAACGAGTAATAGTGAAAATATATATTTTTATTTATAAAAAATGCCGCCCCTAAAATTCCAAAAAATTTGCCGCCCAGTGCACAGGTCGCACATGCCTTTCGCCAGCACTGATAACTTGGAAACCCCAACTTATGGTAAGCAAATATGCAATTTGTGGATTGGTGTATGGGTAACTTTTGTTAGTTGCATGTGCTCTCAATATACCTCTGTGCGCCACTGCGTAAACTCACCCAGTAGCTTGGTGATTTTTTTGCCTACTTTTTCTTGCTAGGTTACATAGATTTTTATACTTAAACCCGGTAACGACGGGTAATTCAGCTAGTAATAAATAAAAGTAAATTTTTCAAAAATTACAAAAAAAATTGTTTATCCTCATATGATCTTAAAATAACAGTTTTCTTAAAAATAATTTTTTTTTTAAATATTTCATAGTGTAGGCTTGAAAGGGTTAAAAGTTCTTACCTGGTAGAAATATCTGCTCGACAGATGTCTGCATAGACTATCTTCAATGACAGGAGAATTCGCTATTTGAAAAATCGAAAAATCGACCTCTGATCAACGATATTGGGAAAATAGTTAACTGACAAATTAAAATCGTTTAAATTTGAAACTTTAAAGTATCTATTAATAAAACTTATGATGGTTTCAGAAAATATTGGATGGAAATTGTATGTGTTTACTTAAAATTCCGTTGTTGATACGAACTGTTTTTAGGTTGAAAAAATGAATTTTAAAACGTCATAGCAATGCGTTATTGTTAATAACTAGAGTAAGGAATTATATACGTTTGCATGTTTTTTCTGGTTAACTTTATCGTATGCTTGGTAAGTATAAAATACATTTCATAACATTCATGATGAAATATTCAACATTTTTATTGTATATTTCTGCCTATTTGAACATTTTTTGGTAAAAGGGGCATATTTTTGATTATAAGAGCATATTTTAAGCTTTTAGTGCATAATTTTAAAATTTATCGAAATCAAGCGCTTTAGTGAATATTTTCCATGAATCAAAGTCAATAATATGTTATAAATTTATATAGGAGATATGTCTTGTATACGATAATGGTCAGCAGTGTTGTGCATTATCTAGATTATTTATTTAGATAAAAACATAAATCCTTTTTATCTTATCTAGATAATAATAATTTGAAGTATCTTTTTATCCACCTTTTTTAAATAAAATAGTTATCTAAGGTATATTATCTAGATAATTTTGAAAAAGATAATTTTTTTTTTGTGGGAAGTGAAACGAGGAATAATAAACACTTGGTATTACCGTATGTACGTTTTAAATTTTAAATATACATATTCTATAAACAAAGAAAAGGTATTGAATAATATTTACACAGAAAACATATAAAAATGAATGTATTTCAAATAATACCATTCAATTTTATAATGAATAACTTTTTTCTTTTATATTATCGACGGCTGTGTGATACCCGCTGCCCAATGCTTACATCCGAAATTCAATATATGTATTGTTGTGACCCGATCCGATTCCCACTACGCAGAATGGTTGGTAACACTGATAAGGCGCTGTCTATTGCAACGAGAGTGTGTGTGTGTGCGCATACACAAATGGCGTGCTGGCCGTTATACAAACCACCGCGAAGTCACACACGTGTTTTTTCTGTTGTCGCCGTTTTTTTTCTAAGTTTTTACAATCGCCATTGCGGGCGTTACGTGGTAGTTAAATTTACCGTTCGCCGCATGTAGCTGATTTATTATAGGCGTTCGACATTGTGCGGATCTTGACGATGCTGCAACGTTTCACGTGTATATTTGCCATTCGTCGTATTGTGTGATACCGAGCTTCTATAATTTGTTTACTAGTAATATTATTTACATTATTAATTAAGGGGCGACATTCCATAATGTACTATTGCCACTTTTCAAAATGTTCAGGAATCACAATTTTCTATTGTATACTGTTGTTAAACAGTAGAAAAAAGGTAAAATATGTTAAAAATTCAGAAAAATATACTTATTATACTTCTCAAGTCAAAATTACCTTAAAATTATTATTTTACTATTTTAATTGATAATTTTAAATGTTGGTGTACTATTTCCATCCAATTGTACACTTTGACTTACTTAAGAATTTAGAGAATAATGAACCAAGTTTTTCCAAAATGTACTTATTCCATAATTTCCTACAGATGTGGAATAGTATTTATGAAATAAAACTCAATGGTAAAAATTAAGTAGCCTTTTTTGAATAAAGTATGATGGATGAAAACAGTTAAGTTGTAAAGTTTGTCTTCAAACATATTATTGCCAATACAAATATTTTACAGTTTTTGGATAGCATGGTTACCGAATAACTAATAAATAATAACCTTAATAATAAAACAAACTTTTTTTTTTACAATATTCCTTGTAAATCAGAATCTATGAATTCATTAATAAAGGTAAAAGGAGAAATTACTAAAATAAAACAAATAAAATAATTTTAAAAAATAAAAACTTTGTTCAGTGCAAAAACTACACACGTCTTGGCGCGGATGTCCAAAACTTAAATTAAACTTTTTAGTAAATATTTTTTGATATTTACTTAAACTACTAGTTGGTTTTTTTTCAGAAATCCTTTTTTTCGTCCAATGTGTCCACATGTACTTGATACTTAGACCAGGTTGCAAATAACATCGACCGGTATCTCTTCTAGTATGATGACTTTTACGACATTTAAATTGTTTGATGTGATCTTCAATAGACTGTGTTATTTCATTTGCAGTATGGTTGAAACGGTATCCCCCTCTTTTTTCAACTGGACTACTATGATTGATATTAAACGTTTTGGTGACCAAATCAAGTCTTCGTCTAGTTAAAGATGTTATAGAACTAAATGCTTCACCACAAACTTTTACCATATTACCATTTGAAGCTGGTATGAAATAGTTAGTAACTGTCCGATTCATCCTATTAGTTGTTTTTCGGTTTGTATGTTTAGGAACAGATACATTCATAAATGTAAGAATAAATTTATCTTGATCTATTTTGGTAGGGCAGCTGCATAAATTATTTTTAAATTATGAGATTTCATCACTAGATAAAATTGAAACATTGCAGACTGTGTCCTTAATTTTGTCTTTGTGAATACACTTTACTGTCCATTCATTTGTTAAATTATTATTAATTATTTTTTTCTGTTTTTTTTTGTTCACTTTATTTCTTTTCCTTCCACCATCAATTTCCATTATACAATCAATGTATTCAGGATCACTATTAAAAGAAGAGTCTGATATAGAATCCATCATAGGTAGAAATTCAACAGAAGTATTGTCAGTTAGTTCAGGTTGAATTAATTGTACATCAGCAGAAACAAGTAAAAAATCATTAGGTTCTGAAGGAATTTCAATCATCAAATCATTTTCTTGTATGACCCCTTCAAACAGTTTTGTTGGTTCTAAGACATATGGACTAATTTCTACATCCATATGTTCAATATCAAATGGTTCTAAAACAGGTGTAGGACTAGTAGGAACAATCTAAAAAAAATTAACATAGAATGGTATTTTACTTAAAAAAAATTATATTATGTATTTTACTATGATTAGTTATTTATTTACATTAGGTATACCTAATAAACTAACCAAACATAATATAAGTTTATTATTCTGTAAAAATTAACATCATCAACTGTAGGAAAAATAATAATATTAAACAATAATAAAAAAAATTCAATACATTATATTATTATGATTCGATAGAATCATTTAATTAAATAATATAAAATAAGTGCTAATTAAAGCAGAGGGATATTTTAATAGTACCTAGGTATATTATGTTCAATACAGTCTATACAAAACTAAAATGTACCTTATATAATAGCTACCTTATAATATGGTATTAAAAACATAAAATGCATACCCATTAATGGCATTCATTTAAAATTAAATGATTATACATTTAAATTCAGTAGTTATGGATACCTAATACTTACTATAAATATATATCATTTAATTTTAATGTGAGATTACTTATAAATAAATATAATAGGTGCATACCTACTTCACTGTTTAATATGAGTGTTAGTTTTTATGCTAGTCAAATATATTATTACACAATAAAAAAAAAAAATGTTCATTGAAAATGAATATGAATATAATTATAATATAATATAATAGAACATATTTTAAAGTATTATGTATATATTACCCACCCTATTTATCAGTAACCTGTTAAAAAGTAGGTAATATATTAAAAAAAAATTGAATTCATACACCTTAACAAAAATGTCATGCTTATTATAATAAGTTATGAATACAAAACTGTATTTACTTATATTTAACTCATTAGTTTTTTGAAGACATAGTATTTATATTATAATTTTATTATAGAATATTAATTATTAATTATTATACTAGGTACACATTTGATTGTATCTACCTCCTGTAGCCATTTATGAATATTCTTATCATTATTTGATACATTATTTTCAACAGCAATATCTGGTGGATGGGGTATTGTTGAGGTATTACTGTCTTCAGTAGTATCCTGTTATAACATTTTAAATTTTAATAAAATATAATTCATACATACAAAATGTCATGTTAACATTATAATAATGAGTAATGAATACAAAACTGCATACTGTTTATACCTAATACACTAAATGTAATAGTTTTATAAGACTTTATAACGTTATGACGTAGTCTGGATATAGTACATTTTGAAAAAAATCATGGAAATAGTTCTTTTTGAAATATTTCTATGGTCTGATTTTTAAATTACCATGGGCAATAGTACATTCTGATAAATTCTCGCCATCGGCAGTAGTGCATTTTGACGCAATCTTAGTATTTGTAATCAATTTATTGATAGGAAATAGTACATTTAGGTATAATTTGATGGTTTCAAACGATTCCCCACCATTTAAATTATATGTTTTGATGTATAACTCATATATTCAATTTTTGGCAATAGTACACTTTGGAATGTCGCCCCTCAATTGTATTTTGTTAGGACTAACTTAAGTTAAGCTATTCTCTTGTACAACATTTATTTGACGATAGTATATATCAATAAATCTTACAGTCCACTATTACTTGTTTTTATGAATTTAAAATTAATTGCATAGCACCCAGCCCAAAAAAAGGTCGAGTTATCAATCGTGTTCATTAAACTGAATTTCGCGACCAAACATGTATACCTAATAGCTAATATTATACTCATATAATAATAATATACATAATAATTGTGTTAACACATGGACATAAAACGTCAATCTTTGACTGGAACGTTCCATAAAAAACCCTCATTAATAGCATCAGTCTCCATACCGATTGCTGAACCTTTTCACTTTAAATAACATTTGTTCTTAGATGCTCTTTTTTTTATATTTGGTACTCTCACATAAAACACAATATCTATTTCTTATTCCAATAAAAATAATTTCTTGGTTTTAAAACCTATTATTTTTGCCTAGTTTAAAATGATAAGTATTATTATGAAGTTACAACATGTAATAGGTTATTACAAATATCGTGTAATATTATTTTTTATAAAATGTTTATTAATAATCTTTAAATTAAGAGCTAATTTCGTCCAAATATTATAATGTAATTTATACCCAGAGACTACGGTTATTTACTAGGAGTAGATAACTACTAGCGATTGAGCGAATCACTTAGTAATAGGTACTAGCATTAATTAAATGTACCTATATAGTATATAGGTCAGGCAATAGAGACTAAATTTTTGCGGAAAAAAATTCCAACCAACATTTTTTTTTAAAAAGTTTTAATAGAATATGCCCTATAACATACTAAAAGTCTCCATTGATCGGACTGGAGCTTTTTTTATATGCTCATGAAAGTTTAAAAATATTTGAATATCTGAAAAAATAATAAAAATATTAAAAAAAGTTTCAAACAAAAGTTATTTATTAGACAATTTACAAATAAAAAAGTAATCTTGTATTTTTTCATTTAAACAAATATTTGGCAAAATATATTTGTTTAAAAATAATAATTTTTTTTTTTACACTGTAATAAATATATTTTTATGTTCTACAAACTAAAAGCGAACGATTCAATTATAATATCAATAAAACATACTAATAGACAGTAATAGGTAAATATGCGAGGGAATAGGTAATTGGTCTGTCATGCGACAGTAGCACTGAAAGGGTTAAAAGTTCAAAATTATGAAAAACAAAAACTTCTACAAACAATTTTCAAAAAAACTTTGAAGCATAAAATGACGTTAAAATGTATATCAAGTACTCCTCTTTATTTGTATAGTTAATTAAAGTTCTTAGGTACGACTGTTGTACAAAAAACTGCGTTTGAATTACGAGATGGGTATTTAATCATATTTTAATCTACTGATTTAAAGCGTCCTCTTAAGCATCCCCATCAAAATCGCTTGTGAACGTGTAAAATCATAGAAACGCAGGATTTACATCAAAGCCGTACCTTAAGATAATAGCTCAGAATAAATTATTATTATTATCACAGAATTCTGAAATCCTAAATTCAGTGTTATCATTATTGTTGTTTATACTATTATGATGTGATAATAGCATGATATACGAGCCGATTTAATTATTTTGATAAGTGATAAAGACACTAGACGCCACAATTACTGTTTGCTTCCATTTTTCAACGTAGACCTTTTCTAAGCATCACGAATTCATGACTTCACTTAGTTGTTGTGTAATCAAAATCCAATTATGTCGATATCGTGACATTCTGAAATTGTAAGTTAAATTATAAGGTGACGGATATTAATTTTTATTAATGTACGTGGTATGAACAATTTTATTCGTTGTGCAACAAGTACATCAAGTAGTAATCAAGTAGTTTCCTTTTCGTAGCTTGATGATCTGTTTTCATCGTTACTTCTATGATTTAAAATAATTAACTATTAGATGATATTGAGCTGTTGATTGTGTATTTTATTTCTAGTGACACCTACTTAATTTAATACTACTACTAAACCAATATTTCAAAACTACTTAGCGAATTTAAAAAAAAAAATTCACAGATTTTATGAAAGTGTATTGCTTTATGTTTAGACCCGTGACAATTAAATCCACTAATTCTGCTTGTTTCTACTTTATATCTATTCATATTGATATAAGTATGATGCATAAAGTTTGTTTTTAAATTCTATATATATCCGTGATGAGCATGTATTTGATTACAATCTTCTTTAATAAATAGTTACATTCAAATTATTTGAATGAATGAAAACTTCTTTGTTGATCATTTGGCTACATAATCATGCATTGATAGGTAAACATTTATTATTGCTATTTTTATTTGTTTATTTTATAATCTGGATGTGTATGCAATGGTTTGTACAATTTTATGGATATTAGATATGTACTCTATGACTCTTTATTTATTTATTTATTTTAATTATTATTTGAGTTTTGTTTTTAATTACAGCCTTCATGGTTTCCAAAATGGATGTTTTGTATCCGTGCAGTCTATGTTCTCGGACTTTTCAGTTAAAAAAACATTTTTTAATGCATATGCGTTTGTCTCACCTATCAAATGCACCTTTAAACCCTAATGATGACTATGAAAGCTTATTTAATTGTTCACAACAATTTTGTAATTCAAGTTTATCAAATGAATATATGCATTTAAACCACAGAATTTCAATGAAAAATTTGACAGAATATGTAAAAACACAAATAAAAAAAGAAGCTCCAAAAGAATCCTATGCTTGTTTGTTATTAAATGTAAGTTTAATTTATAGTTAAACCATATTGAGTTTATGTTTGGAATTTTTTTCTCATAAACTGTACAGAATTTAGCTACTAATTAAAAATTAATTTGTGCTGTGAATATAATTGTTATGCATTTATTTCAGGATTTTTTGCCAGACAATTATACATATAAATTATTGACCTTTAAAGATTTATTGTTTGGTCAATTTAAAGCAAAGTTTATTATCTTTGAGACTAGTAAAGAAACATTTTTAGATTGGTTAAATTGTTTTTGTCAAAAATCCAAAGTCACATATATGACTGAAAAAATCCCTTTTGATTTGTTGGAAAATGTTCAGCGTGTATGAAAAATAAGCCAATTTATATTAAAAACAATTTTTTGAGATGAATTTTTAATTAACTATTTATCATTACAGAAAGTTTACAAGTGTAAAAATATTGATTACTGGAATAATGCTACCAATAGTATTCTTCAAAAACCAACTAACTGTAAAGCAAGTTTAACAGTTGTTATTAAACCTTTAAAAAAAAATTCGTAAGTATTATTTGATTTATTACATTTATTATTGAATAAAAGTATGCCAAAGTATTATTCTATGTTTACAGTGATCTAACTAAAACTATCGTATTATTAAGGCATACTCATTGTCACCCGATGAATTATTTTACAACATTAAAACATTACCAAGCAATTTGTAATGTATATAATCAATTAACACCTCTATTACAAAATGGGTATTCAGCAGCTGATGCATTGCATCAATACAAAATGAAAATTTTACAGAATCACGGTAAAATTTATTATTTGAAATTAATGGACTCTGGTATTAAACTAGATGTAGAATTTATCTATGACTTGTACTACATGTACATGGATAAGTCTAGATTTTCAACGCCGTTCATTAGACAGATAGACTCTTTAATAAAATCTATAAGTTATTATAATTACACTACTGGAAAAGAGAGTGCTGTTCTTGACATAGTGAGAGACAACATAGTAATAGCTATCCGATCACCATTGATGGAAATAAATTTTGATACAGTGTTTTTATGTTCAACTAATTTCAGTGGCTGTAAAACATGGTTTATGTTTAGCCAAAATGATAATGAAATTATGGTTCCAGTAGGTGTTATTGTTGCTGCTGTTAATGAAGAATATATGTTGAAAGCAGGATTAAATTTATGGATAGAATTAGGAGGTAGTGTTAAATCAGTTGTAGTTGAGTTTGCACACATGAGCACATTGCAATCAGTTTTTCCAGAAGCCTCTGTATCAGTTTCTGGATTTCATTTTTTGCTTGGTGTATGGAAATGGTTATTCAGTGTTACAAAAAAAAACAATTTAAATGACGAATTAAATTGCTTTGTCGAATTAAAAAAACTTGTGTGTGCTGATAATTTTATTGCTGAAAATTGCCTCAATACAAATTTTGCTATCGATTTAACTGAAAAATATCCAAATTTCAAAGAATTCATGGAAAATATTTGTAAACCCAAATTTTTGTTTTATCCATCATTAATTGCTCACCCATGTTCAAATATTTCTGAACGGAAACTTATTTACTATCATACTAAATCACTTTCTATTCTGCAGATGTTTAATTTTGTTACTAATGAAATCGACATATTCTATGAGCATTTGTCCATAAATACATCTAATAACCAAAAAATCATTTTTAACGACTTCATTAAAATGAAAGAGGACGAGGATAATTTTACTTATACCTGTGTGAGTGACAGTTGTTCTATGTATTTAGTGAAGAGTGTTAATAATGATACATTTTTTGTTGATATGGATATTGGATTATGTTCATGTACCATAAATAATGTTTGTTCTCCTTGTGTTCATCAAATGTTTTTAAATAAACATTTTAATGATGAATTTATTAGTAATTCATCAGATACTTATATGCTGGGTGTGTCTACTAATAATGATAGAGATGGCGAACTGGGTATAGAAAAAAATCAATTTAAAAACATTTTATCTGAATTTCAATCTGTTAACAAAAAAATTAGGGAAGAATTTATAGCAGACCCAGATTATTTTAAAACTGGCATTCAGTCTTTTGTTTCAACATTGAAGAACAATATAACATTAGATAAATCTTTATTTTTAGCTTGTCATTCATTAAACAATGTAAATTAATCAAATTTTTTTTATAACTATATGGATATAAATTATTTTTAGTTATAGTTGTATTAATTACATCAAATTTGTTATCTTCTATTCTAAAATTTATTAATTTTATTTGTATTGTTTGTATATACATTTTTAATTTAAACCTAAAGTCTAAATACTAAATTACCACGTTCAATTTTTTTTATAATTTTAATTAATTAGATGACTGAAAAGTGTATTTATTTATTTATGAAAAATATTTATTTTCACTTGATCATGTTTTGTTTTCCTATGTATTTAAAATATTATATTTAAAATTGATCTCAATTAATGTGAATTATCAACATATTACTGTATTTTATTAATTTATTATTTGTATTGAATTCACTGTATTTAATATACTGAACGTTTTTAATTTTAATTTTTTTTTACATAATTTTTTTATTTCTATGTTTAGTTTTTATAAATCTTATACAATTGTATAAACAAGATTATTTTAAAGTTTCCATTTACTTTAATTTTGATAGGGTAATTTAATATTTCGTAATATTCAAAGATATTACACAATCTGAAAGGCTGATAACATAACATTAATTTATAAATATGATTATAAATTAGTATCTAATGAATTAATATTAATAATATAAGTTGTGTAAAATATATTTTGTGACAATATTATTCTACAAGTACAATTTGTAAATAATTTATGTGGTTCTGTGAATACCATTTTTTGTACTGTCATAATTTTACAAATGAATTTATTTATTGTCCAATTTGAATTATTTGTTATTTAACTGTGATACTTGTAGATTGTATAGTTTGGTTTTATTTAGTTTTATTTATTTTTGTATTATTTTATTTTATCAAGTTAAAATAGTTGGATTCTTAGTGTAATGGCAATATTGCAATAAAACATTTATAAATTATTTATTCTGTGAAATAAAACAATCATCAAATATTATTTAGAATCAAAGAATTAAAATTACTAATGTATTTTATATGTATGTATGTTCAAAAATTGAATGTCTCTCTTTTTATATCTAATAATTTCTTGCATAAAGACTTCTCAATCAAAACTGTAAATGAAGAAGCTGCTCATTTCTATAAATGGTTTCAAATTTGTCTACAAAATCATTATAATCCATTTTTACAGAACTATTACACCCATATCAGGTGATCCTAGGTGTCGTTTAAAAAGAACAAATCCTTTAAGTGTCATGATTTATCATTTAAAAAACAAAAAAACACTATTTAGATAACTATTGAATTTCCATTCAAGTGTTGGTATTCTTGTTGTATGCAGTCTACTGCACACTTGTTGTCTATCATGCATGTTTCTATACCTTATATGTGGTTGACTGCAAACTATATATCTGCGGAGCATCTATATATATATATATATATATATTAAGTCATATCTATTGATTTGATGGCAATAATTGATAGTTAATTACTTAATTATTAAGTATTACCTTAACAATTTACCTTCAATAATAAAGTCTAGCAATAATTGTAAATGTATGAAAAAATCAATTACAGTTTAGTTTGTACTTTTATATATGATACATTATTATATTGTTCAATCAGAGGAAAATACCATAGTTTTTTTAAAGGAAAGAGGACTTATTGAAATCGATCTTCCTCTTTGTGTTTACTGTGGCTCGCAACTAAATTCTACTTACCCACAAAGAAATAAGAAAAGAATGAACTGAACCTTTTAGTGTTTAATACATATCTATTCACATATTATATTGTAATACACTAATTTACTTATGTATTATAATATATTAATGCATATTTTTATATAAACATGTGTGGTAGACTGCATATGACGAGAATACCCAAGTGTCGCTTATGTGTGACTACTTATTAAAAAATTTCATGTTAATGATTAATTCATCACAAATTTTAAATGTCCTATTTGAATAAATTGTGTATTTTTAAATGTAAAATAATATAGTGTTCAACAGTAAAATTATAATAGTTTTCATGAAGAATGCAAAATCTAAAGTTAATGTTGTATTTTATTATGTTTAATATTTAAATTTATATTGTTAATTATTATATGTAAAATCATATGTTATTATGATATTTCATATTTCAATTTTATAATGTATAATATTGAATATTTGAAAAAATTCTAAGGAATAACATTTTTAGTACAATATTATAGTTGTTTATAGGTATAAGGTGTTGAATCCTGATAGAAAGGATGATACAAACCTTATGTAGGTACTAAAATAATAGTTTATGTAAGCAACCAATTTATAAACATATTGTAATACCATAGAATAAATATCATTGTAATAAATTTAATTAATAACTATAAATATAAATTACATTCTTATTGTGCCAATGATGACTAAATGAGTGCTAACCTTTGATTGTTTACTATTAATGTATTCAGCTTTTTTTAAGTGAGTAGAATATATTACGTGAATAATGAAAACACAATGTACTGAGGCTTTACAATTTTTAGTTTTAATAATTCATGAATTGGTGGTGGATTTATGGGGAGGGGACATAGTCATTGTTTTCTTTTGGGCTTTCGTTTTTTTTATCAGATTTATGTAACATGTTTGATAAATGTTTTTAGTCCTACATATATGCATGTACATTTTTACTATCAAACACTATGTATATCTTTGTATAGGTAGTAGGTAGTATGTTTCATGATAATAAATAATAGTATAATATTCCTTTCCCCCCACCTCCTAAACAAGTTACTGTTCCTTCCATGGATATATATTATACTAATATATACTATGCTATAATAATTATATTATACTAATTAATATATTATACTAATATACAAATAACTTGTACTACTTTTTAATTGTTTGAAAACAATTCACATTTTTATTCAGATAGTTTAGATTCCACGTAAGACAGATATATTATTTTCCATAAATATAATTTAAATACTTTTCTATATCTATTATAATTAATAACTGTTTATGATAATATATATAATTAAATATATGTATATTTTCCAACACATTAAGTTTTTAAATATTTGTAATATATCTAATATATATTAAATTTTATGTTTATATAATATATTTAATGTCAAAAATTGAAAACTATTATGTTCTCTAATAGGTAATAGTAGGTTATTTGATTATAATTTTATATACTACGTATTATATGAACATTAAATATCTGTATGTGGTTATTTAAATTGAAAATTAATTATTATTTGATGATTCAGAATTATTGAAATTGAGAAAATTAACAAATTTATACTTAACATAAAAACAAATAAAAAAAACATTTAAAATTATATAATAAAAAAATACATAATAGTTCATAATAGTTTAGGTACCTGTTTTGTGGTTATTTTTATATTGGTAACAATTAACCGGTAAAATGTATATTATTATAATATATATATTTAATAGACATTGAAATAGGAAAACCAATGATATTAATTTTGTATATGCTGGGATTTCAAGCATCTGAATAAATATATTTTATTATTAATATGAGATTAAAACATCTAGAAGAGATAATCTATGAGATCAAAAAAACATTTTTTGAGCCTATTTTAGGAAATACTAGCAAAAAGGATATAGAGCTTAAATCGTATGTATGTGATGTGTGTGATTGGAAAGAAAAAAATGTTCAATGTTGGGCTGGTGGAGGAGGCGGAGGTAAAGGCTGAGGTGTTTGTTGCTGAGGCAAGGCTTTCAATATGGCTTGCACTTCTTCGGCCACGGCAGCCAAAACCATCTGGAATTGGGCTTTAGTAGCCACCGCACCCGAACGCTGATCACGGATGTGCTCCAAAGTTGCCGCTATGTCGATTTCCTTAGCTCCTTTCGCCATACGATTAAGCACCATGTCCAACAAGCAATACGAACCAGTACGACTTACGCCATCGCTGTACGGATCAAACGATATATTGTTCGATCAGATTTAATATTTCTATGCACAATATGAAAAAATACTTTGTATTATTAGAATCAGCGATGCATACCTGCAATGGACGACGATTGGGCAAGATCTACCACGGAACGACTTGTTGACTTTCCTACGAGCCATAAAAAAACAACATCTATGAGTAATAGTGATACGTGTGCGTATAATCGTTTTAAATTTAACGATCACATAATATAATAAATTTGTTTTAATCTAGTTCCTACTCGATTGATGAATTTTCATCTTATGTGAAAACTTGCAGTGTGTAACATTTTGAAAACCAAACTATAAATGTATTCAGTGGCGTATATAGGAGGGGTCTAGTGGTCTAGTAGCACCCCCCCCCCGAAATGATTTAAAAATAATTTTAAATGTTTGTTATAATTTAATGGTGCTTTATGCTTATTTAGAATTTGCGTCCAACGTCAAATCATTTTGGGACATTCTGTAAATGAAATGTATATAAGTACCCCTACTGTGTCTTGTTGGTAATTATTAGATAGCAGTTACAGCACTATACAGTGGTAATTTAACTTTGTCTATAGTAGCCGCTCCCAAAAATATTTTCTGTATACGCCACTTTGACTACTATAGATGTAGACATAATGAGTTAAATCATTAATTAATGTGTTGTTACCTGCGGAATTCCAGTAGAGCTTTCGTAGTGTTGGGGACTCCTCCATCTGGCCATGTCAAGAAGTGGAACTGAGTGACTGTTCTGGTTTCTCCGGTTTTCAAGTTTTTCAGATAGAAACTCCTCACCAAGTAATCATCGCACCATATGTGTTCACTAACCAAATGCACCTGAACGAAAACATTCATAACACGCTATTATATGCGCCCAGACCAGAAAAAAAACATTAATTTCGACTCTATTCCATACCTCGTATATGTGATAGAGTTCAGATCCCTCTTCCGGCCAGTAACGATGACATAACACCACGTCGTTTTCTACCAGTCTGGTCAACATCACGATCACCACGCAACCTTGTTCCCAAACCATTTGCCAAAAGTCTGCCGATGTGTCGGGCAACGGTCCTTGTGTCGCGATGTAAGCCGGATTCCGTGGATCGTGATCGGTCTACGTGAAACGCATAGCAGATGAGTGCATGTTTTTAATTAAATAATTCCGACTGAAGTTTGTAATATATAAATATATTTTACCAGGACCTAGAACGAAACCTACAAACTAACCTCGACAGCCGATCGATTTTGATTTTTTTTTTTAAACTTAAAAATAATAAACTGACAATTTTATAAGCATTTTATGCACACCGGTTACGTTATTTTTTTTAAACGTTTAGTTTCGCCAGCGTGGTACATGTTTCATTTTTAAGAGACGATAATTTATAGTGCGGGAAATATTTTTTTATTTGATAACGAGTTCTCTTCAGTGCGTACATAATATAAGTGTAAGTACTAAGTCGATCGTTACTGTTCTAATAGAAATTATGAAAAAACAAAAAAATGTATATTCATAAAACGTAAAAAATATTACTTCGCGAGACCGGTAAGAGCCCAAGTTCAATTTTTGTTTTCGGGATTTGAAGAAGTTTTTTTTTTTTTTAAATAAAAATCCTATAATTTTTATTTATAGTTAAAAATTAATCTTTGTGGATTTCGTACTATGGTAGATGCGTTGATGTAGTCCGAATTATTCATGTTGGCGTACTCGTTGATCACAACCCTGGCGTGGTCGTATGGTAATGCATTGATGTAACGATTCTTCTTTGCGTTTTCCGGCTGCAATCAATCACCACCGGTGATAAAAAATAAAAAGTCACCAATCACTTACTGCGGGATACTACTCACCTTTCTAGCCACATTGACCGCACACGGTTCCGCTTCGTACGCGCAGAGCGCTGCCCACTCGCTGTCCAGTCGGTTTTTATTGTTCAAATGGTCCTCCATATAAGCCTGAAATAACGTGAAATTGATGTTTTATATAAAATATTTCGATTTCAATCCACCGCGAACGGGAACATTTTCAAATTTTATTACCAAAACCATGTGTCCGGTTGATATATCCATGTTCGACAGTACCGGTTCTTCTCCCCTTAAAATTCAATACCATTATTAGTAAAATATTTTTAGTACAAATAACATCGAATTATTGAATTGTATATTTATTATAACTAAAGAGCAATGTTGTGTAAGAAGAGAAAAAAAAAAAATCAAATAAAACGAAAAATACCACGAAGATGTGCTTGACCTTGAAGAAGGACTGTTGTCCGGATCTTTCGACAGGCTCGCTATTCTCTGAGACGTGGCATTCGTTTCTTCTTTTTTGCTCGACATCCTCGCTCGGCACAATTCCTTGCAATATGAAAATCGTTCAAAGATGTGTTACTAAAATTGTATTTATAAACAAGATCCACTGCAGAAGTGGGCAAAAAAATAGAAAAAAAAATTAACCCTAGTTGTCCACGTTAGTAATTTAAGTCATCTCATCATGTGCGTAGGTAGGAAATATTTTCGGAGAGGGTTTTGGTCTAGATTTATATTAGTACTATAAAACATAATTTAATTTTATAGTACTATAAAACATTGAAATTAAATATGAACTATTTATTTAATATAATTGAATATCAGTACAATATTTTGTCCATATAAATTACAAATTTAAAAATATAAAAAAAAATTATAAAATAAAACCTTGTTTTCTTAGTTGAAGTTTAAAAATATTGATTACTTCTTCCGGATCAATATTAATTTCACGATGAACGCTTAGCAAAGCAAGTCCAGTTAATCGTTCATTTCCTGTCGAATTTTTCAAATATGATTTAATACGTTGTAATGTTGAAAAAGTTCTTTCTACAGTAGGTAGTAGTTGATACGGAAAGTGAAGAAATAATAGTTAACAATTGTTTTATATTTGGAAAACATTTAGAATCACATTTTAAAAATGCTTCAAATGCTGAGGATGGTCTACAATCTTCTTTTCTCTTACACATTTGGATTTCCACAATAATTATTCTGAAAAAAACTGTTGATGATCCAAAATTATTGTCTTGTAAAAATCCTATAAATTAATAACATATTTCTCATTTGTAAAAACAAATTTTTTCGGAATAATATTTTGAAAAAAATAAAATTAAATCATAATACTGTTCCAACTTACTTTTTAAATTTACTATAGAATGATCAAAAAATGGTTTAAAAAGAGCTTTTCTATAATATTATTCCGGCGGAGAATCTAAATAATTGTTTCGATTAATTTGTTCTTTTTTTTTGAAAGTCTTAGTACACTCATTGTGCCATCAACATCAGTTAAAGTTTTTGAAGCCGTAATAAATATTAGGTTAAATTCCATCTCAGCATTTTGGCAAAGAAAATTGAAAGAATCAATGACAACTCGAACTATTTCGGAGAGTGTTTGAACACCCAAAGCTCCCCATTACCTACGCCCATGCATCTCTTATGAACAAAGTATTTTAAACAATAATGGATTTCAATACATAAATGTAATTTCAAACAAATTTGAAACTGTACACTTATTTAAGTTGAAGTTAATACCCACAAAAGAAAATATTACCTCAATTCAGTTAATCGATTTATTTTTCTGAAAGCACGCAAGTTTATATAAAACAATAATTATGCTATTTGAACATTCACCTCATATTATGTACATTTTAGTGAACATACACAGATTGTATTATTTCTACTTTATGGGTGATTTTGATTGAACATATATTTTCTATTGACTATAAAAATTCAGTTGCTTCAAAGGTTTTTAAAATCAGCGTTATTTAGTCAATCGGTAAATAACTATGGCGAATAAGTAAACAATTAAACTTTTATCTCGATTATATTATCTGTTTGATGATAAATGCCCACCTTTGAACTCTATATTTTATTATAGGTACGTTAAAGTAACGTAATAGTATTTATCTCGATAAAAGTCACCTGGTAATCTTTACTGACTTCCGTGCTGCTTCCGATCAATCCTTCGAACTTGCTTTTGTACTTCGCGTGTTTTCTCATTACAACGAACGCCGCCACAGACACCAAGACGGCACACACGGCCGCGACGGAAATGAAAATCCATTCGAAATTTTTGCTGTCTTCGTACTTGGAACTCATCATCACCGACGGTGTTTTCACCTAATCATGTTTCATCGCATTATCCTCGGTTTCCGCCACAGAGTAATAAGAATTTCTGTTATTACTCTACGGTTCTCGCGCGCTGCCGTAAGTAATAATAAAAAAATATTATTAATGTTTACCTTGTCTCCTACGCTCACGGATTCTATAGTGTAGCCTGTTTTCTTCGCGAATTTGCTCTTCATCGTCTCTATCCGTTTCACCACCTGCGATGCATTAACGCCGGCGCTCGGCAGTATTTGGAACGTAATCTCAGACTCGTCGAAGCTAAAACATAACCGTTCCGAGCGGAATAAAAAATGAGTTACGTTATAGTATTATACACCATCTGAGAAGCATATATACTTACCGAGCGTTGACTATCGATTTAAAATCGATATTAATGATATTGGACAGCACTTTAAGCAAGTTGTTACCTCTATCTGGAGAGCTGATCCTATTCAAGTGTAACATTAATATAAACGATACCGTAAAACGTTATTTATTTTTTTCGTAACATAATAATGGAAAGCAACTCACTTTTGTTTTATTTGGATAGAAACATAAGAAGTGTCGACCACTTCATATTGATCGTTATCTACGTCGAGCATTTTATTTTTAGAATTTTCCTTTCTCTGGATATCCTTTTCCTCACCCGGGGCGATTTTACTGATGTAAACGGTTTTAAAATCGTCTTGAGTCAATTTTGACGATGCCTTGTTATTAGTGTTGGTCGATTTCGTCTCTTCTGAATCCGATTTTCGGTTAGTTCCCAGTAATGTCGTAGCATCTGTACAAATAATTATATGGAAAACGTTAATAAACAAATCGTTTACATTGTCCTCTTTTACTACGTATTACGTATAACACAGCGTCAATGAATACATACCGACAGTCTTGGGGATTTCCTCGCCTTGTTTTTGCTCAGCCCCTTCGTCATTGATCTGAAATATTATTACATCCGGTCATTAGTTCACCGTTCGCGATCAAAATATGGTAACTTACTTCGAATGCAAAATTGTTTGTCTTGTAAAACGGCCCGGGTTTCTTGACGTCCAATCGTTCGGGTCTTTTGAATCCCCATCCCAGCTCCGGATCGTAGCTCTTAATGAAATCGCTAAACATCTCGTCATCTTCTTCGCCGTTGGCTCCTACAAACACCCATCCTAAATAATAATGTGTTTGAGTATAGTTTGCTCGTCAACGTTTGTGTTTATACCTTTGCGTGGTAAGAAGACCAGACCACCCTCCGTGTACGCCTTGTTTGGGTTCTCCAGACCTTTGGATATCATGTCCATGTGCCTCAGTTCCTTCCATTCAACGTCCATCTTGTCCTTCATCTCTTCGCCCGCCCGGAACCTTTCCGGTGTGTTGTAATCCGGTCGGAACCTCGGTTGACCGTACGCCAAGGGCACCTGATCGTCTTCGTATTGTTGCTGTTTTACGCCTGCAAAAACCAAAAAAATTATTTCGTGTTACCCGATGTTACCGAAATAACTACGTATTACGTACCTTGCATCCACGGTAAGTACAATGGTGTTCCTTGAAGTTTATTCCTGTTAATAACACTTCGATGATAATCGTCATCTAGTTCAAAAATACACATATTTTTATATATATATATATATAAATATAAAACAGTTTTCGACTATCAACGTACTTAAGTCCGAATAGAATTCATGATCCCGTTCGATATCATCTGGATTTATGTACACATCGGAGAAGTCCGCGAAATCGCCGTTGTCGTTCTGAACATAATACGGACAAACGAAAACGATACTTTAAGTGTTAATAAAATCATCGTGCAAGCGTGATTATTACTTGTCTGCTTCTGTCCGGTAGTCTCGAGAATGGATTACAAATCGAAATGTCCACGGGTCGACTGTACTTGATCAGTTTTAATCGCTGTTTGAGTATGCACTGTGTAAACGGATGCGGCCAACCGTAACCGTTGCGATAGAGAAATTTCATGTCTTCCTGCAGAATTAAGAGGTTGTCCATCATCAGTTTGTACCTATAAAACAGCACAAAATTAAAATTAAACTTAACATTGATATTGTTCCACGGAGAGTGCTCAGATTTCATTGATTTATTGCATATATGGCGGGTACCGTTCTTTTTCGCACCATTGACATATTATTACGTGAAAAAAACTCCAGTGACCCACCCTATACATACAAGTTATCTATTTTATATAGTATATAAGCTGTTATCTTACGTATATTCTCCTTCACCGTTATTATAATTTGGAATGCATTTCCCGAATGCATGATCTATAAAAAAAAAAAAAAAACAATATCTCGGTTAAAATGCACAGATATAATGTAATATTCATAGTACTTAATTTAAATACAACATAATACGGTCTTACCGTCAAAGCACCACTCGTGTTGAGCACAAACATTGCCATTAAATAGACAACCTGAAAATTGAAAAAACAAAAAAGTTGTTCTCGGTTTTTCATAGTATTAAAAAAATTTAAGTAATATTTTTACTATCACAAGGTACAATATTTCAATGCAAATATGTTTAAAATCAATATTTGATTCATAGGTTCCTATTAGAATAGGTCATTGGTTTGAAAGTTAATTATCCCTTTGATTAATATTATTATTTTAAATAATTTAACATGTTTAAAATTATTTAATTGCGACAATAACCAAAGATATTTCATTATATAACAGTTTGGAAATTTTAATTTATTGTTCGTTTTATAGGGAAAATACTCAAAAAGTTAATTACGTCCTATTTAGCTCCTTAAATTTTATAATTGATGCATATAACGACAGTGAAAAATTTTTGATAGAGGTAAATTCTAAAACTGTTTATATAATATGTAATTAATATAATATAATAACAGATAATAATGGATATCTTAGATTCTGAAAATAAATTCATTAATTGGTGAGAGTACAAAAATATTTGAATTTCTGAGGTTAGTTAAGGTTTGTATAAAATTTCCATTTAATGGCTTATGTTGTTTTTGAATTGACCGATTTAATCATACAATTCTGATAGTCTTTGATAACCATTTCATACTGATAGAATGTTCGAAACGTCTCGTCGGATGTCACATTCGTCATTGTCATCTAAATCGTTAGGGAATCGGAGCATTTTGCTTGTTTATGTGGTGCATAAGACATATGCATAAGACATATCAGTGTGGCAATGTAACTGTTTGAGCATAAATGGGATTTAATTGAAACTATTCGCTAACACATGCATATAATCACTGTACTAAATTAACAGAGGTGCAGGGGTACAGTGCTCCGGATCTTCAAACCTCTATGGGGCCTCTAAAACCAAAATTGAAAATTGTCTATTTCGTTATTTTATTTTTTTTAAATTTACCTATTAATTAAGGTAATGAATATTTCATTTTTTTTAGTTATTTAATACACTAACATATATTAAGTAAACATTAATATAAGTATTATATCGGGTAAATTTTTTTTTTAAGGTGCCGTCAATAGATGTTTGCACCCTGGCCTCCTGAGACTTAAATCCGGTACTGCACAGTTGTACGATTATACTTGTAAAGATAGAATCACATTTTTACACAGTTTATTTTACTGTGTACTCGTATATACGAGTAGTTTTCAATTAAACCGTATTACGGTTGTTCGAAATTGGTTAGATTAATTTATTTTTTGTTATTGAACAAACTTGTTTTCATCGATATTCGTCATGAACCACAGATTTAGTCGGATTTTACCAATCAACCTTTTTATTATATATATATATAATCAGTTATACAGCTGACGGCTATAGACGTGGGTTCGTAGGTAGAACATTTCTCTGTCAAATTTTCTACCGCAATAGTACAAATCTCGCATCGCTAGACATACAAATCCTGACAGAGATACACTCGATCCAATTCGATGTCGGATTGTTCTACCGTCATTCCACGCTGATTTCCTTGATTGGCGGTTATCGAAATCGAACACACTTTGTCGTTTTTATCTAATTTTGTTTTCATTGTAGTGAAATATATCAATATTTTTGACGTCCAAAATAATTGTGCATATGTCTCAATCATGAAGATTTACAATATAGTAAGCCACGAATTTTCACGCTAAGCAGATAACTTATACAGGACACATGCACACAGCAACGGTAGAAGTATCACAGAACTTTAAAATATAAAATTTAATGTTTTAAAAGTGAAAAAGTATCTTATTTAAACAATATGGAGGAGCGCGGATTAACGTAGATATTTTTATGAATAGAAAAAGAAAAGGTTTAAAAATATTTTATTAGCGCGTTGAAGTTGTACCATTAATATAATTTTACTGAAAGCCAGGGAATCAAAGTAGGTTGACTTTTCACAGATTCTAGCTACACGGTAAAACCAGGTTTTATGTTGTCTCGGATTTCAGTTAGTGGGTTAAAACCTAGTTTTATTTTTTTTATATTCTCATGATAAGGTACACCATAATGCTGTTAGGTAGGAATGGTTTCAAGGAGTTTTCTTTGAAGCATCAGAAACTATTTAATTTGCAGAAATTACAAGTATCAAAGTTTATTTTTGACTAAATTAATTAAATTATATAAGTATTTCATACTACATAATAATTAATTTAAATTTTCTAGTCATAGACTTTTATATGATTTTAATATTATAATAATATGTGTTATATGATTACATAATTATTAATTTTTAACTTTGTTTTTAAAGCTTTAACTACATAGATGTTGCTCTACAAAAAGAGATTGATTTAATGAATGTAGACTATCAATTATTTATAGGAGTAACGTTAAATAATAAAATGTTCAACGAGTATTAAGTACAGAGGTGGAACTAGGAATTTTTACGCCCGGGGAAAATGATAAAATTACGTCCTATCATAGACCAATAATCAAATACTCCTCTCGAGAATTTTTATCTAACAATTAATATATAATTATACTTATTGAGTTTTTACCTAATATTGGTATTTAGCAAAGTTAAAAATATCAAATTAGTTGTTAATAATTACAAAAATTACACCCTCTAAGATGTTATGCCCGGGGATGAATCCCTCTCTTCCACCCTCAAGTTCCATCCTTGATTAAGTGGTTATTTAAGTTACATTAAGTGCTTGATTGTGGTAATAAAAATTCTTTGCAATACTATTAGAAAAATTATTTATGTAAAGAAATCGATTCATGTTGATTTATGGTTGACATGATAAATCAAATTGTACTGATAAGACTAGAAGGTTGCCTAAAATTGTATCTCATATAATTAATATGTATAATTTAATATTTATTATAAGTAGGTAGTTTTATCTATTATAGAGATTATTATATCTATAATAAATCTAATTTAATATTTTTAAATAAATATTGATAAATACAAAAAACAATTAAAGTTATTAATATATGGCATTTCAGGGGCGTATTTATGGGGGGCAAGGGGGCCCGGGCCCCCTTCGAAATGAAAAACACCATTGTTAAAGATTATTATTTTTAATATGGATATGTCTTAATGCTGGGGGTTTTCGAAAATTTGTCGCGACACTGAGAATGTTGCTTATGCAATAATTTAAAATTTTATATTTATAAAATATGTTTATTCTTTTAAGAAAATATGTGATGAATTTTGAGTGACTCCAATAAAAAATTTGTTTATTACAATGTAGTTTTTATACTTTTAAAAAATAATAAATCATTAAAAAAATTGAGTTTCTTATTTCTCTGATGGTGTAAAGACAGTCGAGAAGTCTTATAGTGTTAAAGTAATTTTTTTCGTAATAGTGTGCTTCCTCCTTCCCTTCCACCCAAAAATCAAATACATAATCGGCCCCCTTCGAAATGAAAACCCATATACGCCACTGTGGCATGCACACTACTAGGTCCATTATTTTAAATTATTTTGAGGATTGGAATTATGTGTGCAGTAGCCAAATAATCATAGGAATTTAAGGCACTATAAAACACATTAAAATTAAATGTAAAAAACAATAAGATATACTATAATATATAATGTACGTAAGAAGATATAAGTTAAAACCATGTAATGCTAAAATTTGTATTTATGTATTAGGTACATTTTATTATAATACTTTCTAGAACGGCTGAAGAAAGATTTTCCTGTAGGTTATTTCATAATTATTTGGCTAATTGCTCATTTTTTAAATATTACTTCCTACCATTATTAATGAATAGAAATTAAAAATATACATTTTATTTCCAATTTCCGTTTCCAGAAAATAAAGATAAACGTTTTATTTTCTTATTTATTTGAATCATTTTAGTTCATGGTTTAATATTTTAAATTGCATTTTCAAATTGCACTGTTTCAAATCAAAAACTGGATTCAATTTTTCTCCTGGTTTGGGTTTCGTATAAAAACCGGGTGCACATATTGTCGAGTTTCGTTTTTGATTTATTTCCAGTTTCAAATTTTGTACGAGTACTCCGAGTTTTAAAACCAGGTTGTAAGCCGTTTTGATTCCCTACCGAAAGCACGCAGATACAAATGGAAATTGCAATAAACATTACGTAAATAATTGTCGGTATTACATATAAATTATTTATAAAAATCTAACTATGATTATTGATTGTTACGTAATAACGACAATTTACGTTATTATTTAAAGTATCGGAATGAACAATTCAATGAGTTGCCTAAAGTGATTCGAAAGCTCCAATTAGTTCCCAAATCTTTTCATCGTGAAATTCCAGACCAAAATACAAAAACAAACGGACGGTATTTTCATTATTTGATAATATTTTTGAAACCAAACGAATTTGATTGTTTTTTACAAAATTAAGTCTTGAAAAAATGGTTTAGTAATTTTTTTTTTTAAAATATGTTTCGAATATTTACATTATATCGTATTTTAATTAAATTTTTATAATCAATAGTCAATCAAATATTTTAACAGCTCTACGGACTTTCGTCAACGCTGTTCATTATTTGAAATTTACTCGTTTATAGTATACATTACAATACAGACTACACTTGCTGCAAATCATGAATCTTATTATTGTTATAGTATATTTTTTTTCAGAACTTTAAGTAAGAACAATTATAGCTCAACAATTATTGAATTATATATAATAGTTTAACAATTAATTACGACTATTGTACAAAATTAGACTTAGTAGGTACGTTATGATATATAATAAAATAAACTCAAACTGAAAATAAAAGCAATTTTAAATAATAATAATGAGTAATGATATAATAATTTTATAATATTATATTATTACAATGAGGTAAGAGAAGGTAATATTAATAGGGGATATAATTGGTCAAGAACAATTTATTTAACATATATGTAAGAAATTAATGATGTTTTTTTTGTGTGTGTATGTGTGGGGGGGGGGGTGAAACGGTGAGAAATTAATAATAATTGAAATAGGTATTTAATAATTTGATATTAAGGAGAAGGTATAGGAATAGAAGACGGGAAAATTTTTTTTAAAACTGTT